AGTGGGTTAACAGAGGAGTTGTGAGGGGCCCAGTCTGGTTCTAAACCACTTCAGGGAGCAAAGAGTTAAACCTGTCCTTCCATGCTAGAGATCCGACACAGATTAGGGCCCATCTGCTGGCTTCTGTAAATAGATATACAAATATTTAAGGGCAAATCCCTCAATCTGTTCCTATCTACGTAACTTTAAACTACATTCATATTAGTGTGGAAATGGGAGGGAAGGTCAGATAGTACCTTTTTTCATATATAATATTGCACCCACACATGCAAAGTCCCATGAGGAATGGGGTCAGGGGAGAAAGAGAGAAAGAATTCAGGCAGAGAAAGAACATTGCACACAACTAATCTAATCTTGCTTTCTCCTGGCCATGATTTGTTCCAGGTGCTCATAGAATCATAGAATCATAGAATCATAGAGTTGGAAGAGACCACAAGGGCCATCGAGTCCAACCCCCTGCCAAGCAGGAAACACCATCAGAGCACTCCTGACATATGGTTGTCAAGCCTCTGCTTAAAGACCTCCAAAGAAGGAGACTCCACCACACTCCTTGGCAGCAAATTCCACTGTCGAACAGCTCTTACTGTCAGGAAGTTCTTCCTAATGCTTAGGTGGAATCTTCTTTCTTGTAGTTTGGATCCATTGCTCCGTGTCCGCTTCTCTGGAGCAGCAGAAAACAGCCTTTCTCCCTCCTCTATGTGACATCCTTTTATATATTTGAACATGGCTATCATATCACCCCTTAACCTCCTCTTCTCCAGGCTAAACATGCCCAGCTCCCTTAGCCGTTCCTCATAAGGCATCGTTTCCAGGCCTTTGACCATTTTGGTTGCCCTCCTCTGGACACGTTCCAGTTTGTCAGTGTCCTTCTTGAACTGTGGTGCCCAAAACTGGACACAGTACTCCAGGTGAGGTCTGACCAGAGCAGAATACAGTGGCACTATTACTTCCCTGGATCTAGATACTATACTCCTATTGATGCAGCCCAGAATTGCATTGGCTTTTTTAGCTGCCGCGTCACACTGTTGGCTCATGTCAAGTTTGTGGTCAACCAAGACTCCTAGATCCTTTTCACATGTACTGCTCTCAAGCCAGGTGTCACCCATCTTGTATTTGTGCCTCTCATTTTTTTTGCCCAAGTGCAATACTTTACATTTCTCCCTGTTAAAATTCATCTTGTTTGTTTTGGCCCAGTTCTCTAATCTGTCAAGGTCGTTTTGAAGTGTGATCCTGTCCTCTGGGGTGTTAGCCACCCCTCCCAGTTTGGTGTCATCTGCAAATTTGATCAGGATGCCCTTGAGTCCATCATCCAAGTCGTTGATAAAGATGTTGAATAAGACCGGGCCCAAGACAGAACCCTGTGGCACCCCACTAGTCACTCTTCTCCAGGATGAAGAGGAACCATTGATGAGCACCCTTTGGGTTCGGTCAGTCAGCCAGTTACAAATCCACTGAGTGGTAGCATAGTCAAGACCGCATTTTACCAGCTTCTTTACAAGAATATCATGGGGCACCTTGTCAAATGCCTTGCTGAAATCAAGGTAGACTACATCCACTGCGTTCCCTTCATCTACCAGGCTTGTAATTCTGTCAAAAAACGAGATCAGGTTAGTCTGACATGACTTATTTTTCAGAAATCCATGCTGACTATTGGTGATCACAGCATTCCTTTCTAGGTGCTCACAGACTGTTTGCTTAATGATCTGCTCCAGAATCTTCCCTGGTATTGATGTCAGACTGACTGGGCGGTAATTATTTGGGTCCTCTCTTTCCCCCTTTTTGAAAATAGGGACAACATTTGCCCTCCTCCAGTCTGCCGGGACTTCGCCTGTTCTCCAGGAATTCTCAAAGATGACTGCCAGTGGTTCTGAAATCACATCTGCCAGTTCTTTTAATACTCTTGGATGCAGTTCATCTGGCCCTGGAGACTTGAATACATCTAGACTAGCCAAGTATTCTTGTACTATCTCCTTAGTTATTCTGGGCTGTGTTTCCTCTGCTGAATCATTTGCTCCAAATTCTTCAGGTCGGGCATTGTTTTCTTTATCGGAGAAGACTGAGGCAAAGAAGGCATTGAGGAGTTCAGCCCTTTCTGTGTCCCCTGTTTGCATTTCACCATCTTCTCCTCTGAGTGACCCCACGGTTTCTTTGTTCTTCCTTTTGCTACGAACATACCCATAAAAGCCTTTTTTGTTGCTTTTAACCTCTCTAGCAAGCCTGAGTTCATTTTGTGCTTTAGCTTTTCTGACTTTGTGTCTACACGTGCTGGCTATTTGTTTGAATTCCTCTTTGGTGGTTTCCCCCCTTTTCCATTTTTTGTACACATCCTTTTTTAATCTTAACTCAGTTAAAAGTTCTTTAGATAGCCACCCTGGCTTCTTTAGGCACCTTCCATGTTTCCGTCTCATTGGACGGAAGTGCTGCTCTCTTCTGCCAGGGCTTTTCCCTGGTAGTAGTGTTTGCATGTTAAAAACTTCCCTAAACAGGGCTGCCTTCAGATGTCTTCTAAAAGTCAGGTAGTTGTTTATTTCCTTGACATCTGGTGGGAGGGCGTTCCACAGGGCAGTTGCCACTACCAAGAAGACCCTCTGCCTGGTTCCCTGTAACCTCACTTCTCGCAGGGAGGGAACCACCAGAAGGCCCTCGGAGCTGGACCTCAGTGTCCGGGCTGAACGATGGGGGTGGAAACATTGTGTCATCCTAAGCAATCAGAGATGGGATTGAGGTACAACAGGAAGTGTGCTTCTAGCTCTTGGAGTTGTACAGCAAAGGTAGGGAGTTTCTACCACTGACAGAGACTCTTATCAGCCCTGTAGATAATATCTACGCTTATTATGATCTTGCCACAGTGCAAGAGAAAGAGAGATGCAAATGACCAGAAATTAAGAGAGGATCTCTTGTTCTTGCTTTTTGGCATTTGAACTGACATTTCTAAATAGGCAAACGACATGTTGCCATGTGCTCTGGGCTACTCTAATCCATGAATGAAGGAGACAAAGGTTTTGTACCTTACACCATCTTCAGTTGTGTATTCTATGTGGCTGAAGGAATGGCTAGATGTTCAGATTTCTGCAAGCCTTTTGCTAACATTCTGTGTACTTCAATGAATCCCGCCAGACTTCATCCTGAGACATACATTGAGACCCCCCCCCCAATAATAGCCAAGAATAGCATTCCGCTACAAAAGGATGAATCCAAAGAACTGCAGGTGGCATGTGTTACTTTTGATGCTTATGTTGCATTCTCCGGTGTGCAACATGGACTTTCCAGGTGGGGTATACTCTGGGGATAAGGCATAAATCTGGCACACATTGCACCAAGCTATTAACTTTGAAAGTTGCCAATTGCAATTGAGCTCAAACTGACTAGTTTTATTTGAGTTCTCTGTTTGTAAGACAAAGTAGATCATGTGGACTGGTCTCTTTTTTTTGAATTCAGTGACCTAACAGTTATTATACACATGTGTACTTATGCTGTCATAGGTGAGCAGGCATTAAGGAATGTGGAAAAAGAAAGAAAGGGTACAACCCAAACCAAGAGAAGAGGACATGATGGGGAATTATGAAGGCCATGGTGCTATTCCATCAAATACCTGTAAATTCAGGTTGCTGAATTAAAGTTGATTTGGTGCTGTCGCGCAATAAACCCGCTTAAAATAAAATCACTTAACAATTGCACTAAGGAAAGCGATGGGGAATATGCCTGGGAAAGGATGGGACAGCAATTACTTGACATGACATTTTATAACCTGCTTGCAAACAAATGGAAATGGATGCTTGACAATTAGCCGGCGTTGCCAAATCTCCCTGCAGACTTTGTGTGGCAAATAAATCAGAATGATTTCATCTGAAAGTCACCTAAAGTTACCTTCTGTTCTGCACATGGACATCGTTAACAGGATTTGAGTCACAGGCCAATAATCCAGAGAAGGAAAAATGCATTACATATCTACTCTTGTGGACGGATCCAAACTGAACAGCAAAGTACTGAAAAAATGGGTCCAATATAATAATGTTCAGGTGGTCAGATTTGATTTGATTTGATTTCATAATTGAGTACTGTAAAGACATTTAACCACATCTCTAAATAGGCAAGGAGGGACTTGGACCTGTACAAAAGAAGGAAGACCTCACTGCCTTCTGCCCTGCTTAAACTTAAAAGGCAGGGATAGGGGACATGCGACTTTCTATATATTGTTGGCCTACAACTCACATCATCTGAAGAATGGCCATGCTGGCTGGAGCTGATAGGAGTTGGAGACCCAGCAACATCTGGAGGTTCCTCATCTCTAACTTAAACGAATGAGAGACTGGGACCAACCCTGAAGCAGTATCCCTAAGGAGAGCATGATAGTTGAACATTGTTTTCTTGGTGGCATCACCCTTGCTTTACCATCACATTAGGGAAATTGTGGAGTTTGGTATCAAAGTCAATATTGTGATGGAAGGGTGCTCAGAGAAGCCTTCTTTCGTAGCATTTTCATGAACCAATGCGAAATGTATATACGTTACAAAGCTGCCAGACATGTGGTCCATTAGGAACTAGGCTTTAAATTGAGCAGCTTCTAACCTCATTCCGCTCTACCTGTTTTGTCGTCTCTGTGGGCCACAATATTAGTGGCTCTTAACTGCTCACTGCTCTTTAAGTTCTGAACTGGACTCCTCTTCACACCTTGAAAATGTATTTTAATTATTTTCAATTGTTGCGTCCTCTATTATATGTACGTGACACAGTTAGCAGCTTATTTAATTTCACACTTCTGCTGCACCATTCCTCTCAAAGAGCTGTCTCGGTAGTGTATGACTTCTAAAAGGCTGTGTTATTGCCATCAGGGCTTTGTCCCCTTTACTCCTTTTGATGCTGAAGTGTTATGTGAAATTATAACTGGTAAACTCTAAGTGCCTATGTTTTCAAGGTGATGCATTAATGAATTAAGACACGATTACCACTGTTCTGTCCTTAAACTTACGATGCGTTTTTTAAAAACCTGTACATTTCAGACCAGATGGAATTGGAACGGTAACCATTGAAGAGAAAGAAAAGTTTGAAGATATTAAGGAAAGGCTTACTTCTCTTTTGGAAAACCAGATTAGCCACTTCAGGTAAACATTTGCATACTGCAAGTTTGACATGCCTATTGCTATGAGGAAAGAAGGAGATGGTGAATTAGGGTTTAGATCCTGGTGCAATCTTAAATTTGAATGCCGTTCAGTTTTTATAAACCAACTAAGGCCTTTGAAGAGGAATATCACTCTTCCCGTCAGTTGGTTTTTTAAAGAATCAGACATTTACTCTACCTAATGTTGCAAGTCGCATGTGAATTTTGCCCATTCTGTACCAATTTATGCCGGTCATGCAAACAGATCAGAGACTTGCAAGCATGGATAGTGCAGACCAAAAATATATAGCACAAATGACCCCTCCTTTAAAAAAATATAACTTTCTCACTTAACACTGATTTTGCCTATCAGTCATTGCTATTTGTCCTTGGTGGAGAGCGAATTGTTTACACTAGGCATGTCATAGCGATTTGGAATGTGAAATGCAACTTTACAACCAGTAGCGTTTCTGTATATCTTACATATTTTATATGGTAACAAGAGAAAGGACAGGGCAAAAAATCATGCAGATAATCTAAGAACATTTGGGCAAGAAAATGCAATACCTTTGTTATTAAAAGTTGAGGATGTAGAAGTTTATTAAGGCTGCAATCCTGTACTCATTTATCTGGAAGCAGGTCCCATAAACCTTAATGTAGCCTGCTTATTTCTAAGTAATTCTGTGTGGGATTGCACTGCTAACCTGTTAATCTTGTTGATTTAAATCCCTATGAAATCTCAAACAATACTAGTAATTGGGGTAGTACACATTTTACTTCTGACCCAGTTCCATCTTGAAGCCATCCAGATAGAAATGAAGACCCTTAAACTTTGCACACCCACATTAAAAGCATCCATGAATAAAAGTGTTTGGAGATCATGCCTAAATGATTGGCAGGAGAGAGTCAATTATACCACTCAGGACAGGAAATTGTACAACTTTGGGGTTCTGTCCCTTGTGCCCACCCACCTATGCCCCCAAAGGAGCACATACTTTTCTAAATAATTTTAAAAGAAATATATACAAATATTCTTGTCACACAGAGGTACAACTTTAGTTGAGATTCCTTCAATTTGGGGGGTTGGACTAGACTAGATGATTCTTGGGGTCCCTTCCAACTGTATGATTCTAATAAAGGGTCTATCTTTTGTCTATCTTTAAGGTATTGTTTCCCTTTTGGGCGTCCAGAAGGAGCATTAAAAGCTACACTTTCATTACTCGAAAGGGTACGTTCTGAGTTTCATTCAAGTTTTTCCAGTACGTGTGTATTTTTTAGAAATTGACCAAAGTGTACACATTACCTATTTTGGTATTATTTCCAAAATGTTAATTTCCCCCTGGGGGGGGGGAGCAGACACCTATTTAGTACCGAATCAGTTGAGTAGAACATGACTTTAAATATTTTTAGATTCTTTTAAATCAGTCATGGGATTCATATCTTTAGAATTCTCTCACATAGCAATATACTTTATGGAGGAATTCTCCATGGAAATAAGTAAGTCTTTCATGCTCATAAAATGTAATCCCTAAAAAATGTAAGTAAAAGTCTATTGGATCAGTCTACAGGTTGACCTAGTTCAGTATAAGGCTATCAGTGGCGACTACCCATGATAACCCGTGTTTAAGGAAATTTGCCTTTACTGCATACTGCTTTAAATACTTTCCATTGCTAGACTCTTCAAGAAATCTTAGGAAGCTCATGAACGATATCCAGAGAGCTAAATTCAGACCTAGGAGGCATGAGTTCAAACAGAGGTACCACAGGTGGTGCTGTGGTCTGAACCACTGAGCCTCTTGATCTTGCCGATCAGAAGGTTGGCAGTACGAATCCCTGCAATGGGGTAAGCTCCCATTGCTCTGTCCCAGCTTCTGCCAACCTAGCAGTTCAAAAGCTTACCAGTGCAAGTAGATAAATAGGTACCACTGTGGCGGGAAGGTAAATGGCATTTCCGTGGGCTCCGGTTTCTGTTATGGTGTTCTCTTGTGCCAGAAGCGGTTTCGTCATGCTGGCCAAATGACCTGGAAAGTTGTCTGTGGACAAACGCTGGCTCCCTTGGCCTGAAAGCGAGATGAGTGCCACACCCCATAGTCGCCTTTGACTGGACTTAACCATCCAGGAGTCCTTTACCTTTACCTTTTTACCAATTTGAATAAAATATTGGCTGATCGTCTTGCCTTAGCCACACCTACTTTTTTGTGGCCTGTTTCAACCCAATACCAGTCTCCGGTATCATTCTTGTGGCCTTCCCTTCACCTGCCACCACCATTATTTTCCTGTGCCGGCAATGAGGTATTTTTCTTATTGGAATTTGTGTGGTAGGGCAAATCCAGATTTAAGTAAAGAAAAAGTATGGACTGGCATTTTGATGATGGCGACATCATGCAGATGCCGTGAAAAGCTTCTGAGTAGGAGCAGCGCCCTATTCCACAATAGAGTTTTTTGGATTTGATATCCCGCTTTATCACTACCCGAAGGAGTCTCAAAGTGGCTAACATTCTCCTTTCCCTTCCTCTCCCACAACAAACACTCTGTGAGGTGAGTGGGGCTGAGAGACCTCAGAGAAGTGTGACTAGCCCAAGGTCACCCAGCAGCTGCATGTGGAGGAGCAGGGAAGCGAACCCGGTTCACCAGATTACGAGTCCACTGCTCTTAACCACTACACCACATAAACTTCCATGTGAAAGCTCCCTACAAGTGCTGTAGATGAACTCAAGCCAATTGATTTTTTCTCATCCTTTCCCCTGCCCCCAATCTTTAATGTAAAGATAGTTTGACCTTATGAACGGCTATAAATATTACAAGATAACATGTATGTTAAGTACTGTGTAAACACTTGTTTTAGCCTTGTGTTTCATTTAGAAATGGTGTCTGCAGGTGGGCAAGTCTATGTTACGGGCTAAATGGCTGCTTTTCACTCAAATCTGCAGAGATTAATAGCTAAGTCGATTAGCGACTTCCTTTTCTTTCAGTCTCTAATTGCCAGCAAATCTAAAACAACTATTAGTATATGTTGAAACCTTTTCTCTTGGGGGGTTATGGTAATGTGTCTAACTCAAGCACTGTCTTTGACGCAGGTTTTAATGAAAGATATTGCCACTCCCATACCAGCGGAAGAAGTGAAGAAAGTGGTTAGAAAATGTCTGGAGAAAGCAGCCTTGATCAATTACACTCGGCTTACAGATTATGCCAAAACAGAAGGTTAGTACAGCGATCAGCTAGCTACCAGAGTGGCTGCAAAAGCTATCGGCGCCTATTAACTGAATATATTTTGTGAGCAGCCTTTTCTCTTTCCTGAGCAAAACCTGTACCACAGCAAGGGGAAATATCTCATTAAAATCTCAGCTGGTGAACTACTGAGCTTTTTCCTATTCATGGCTTTAATATACCTCCTGGGACCGCGCTTGAATGAATGATCTTTGCTTTGTGCTGAAGTTCTCCTTTGTCCTTTATTTTAAGGGCAGTTTTGTGTGTCGCATAACTGGCCCAAATCAACCCATTCTAGAGGGTACTTTCTTGCCCAGTTTTAACATTTGAACTTAGTTGCATAAGGAAGAGACATTGAGCATTCCAGAGCCATTGAATATAGCCCCTTACCTAGCTCCAATTCCCGGGTTGCCCCTTGTTTATTAATGAACCGTTAAGAATACACATAATGAAATCCACCTCGAGCCCTCAGCCAATGGGCTCACTTACTTGTGAAGCTAGAGAAGGCCTTCTTCCAATAGGAGAGAGTGGACTTTTTTGAAATTTCCCTTTTGTGTGAGTAGTGTTTTAACCCCCTGGGGTGGGGCAGGGTGTCTCAGATGATAAATAATCATTTAAATCTTGAATAGAAACCAGATACATTTATATAGCATATAATAAAGGGGCTTGCAACATCAAGAATTGTTGGTGAATAATAATAATAATAATAATAATAATAATAATAATAATAATAATAATTATTACTTACCACCCCGCCTCCCCAGCCACTCTGGGCGGCTCCCAACAGCATATTAAAACATGATAAAACATTAAACATTTTTTTAAAAATCCCTAAACAGGGCTGCTTTCAGATCGTCTTCTTTATATGCAACAAGACTTGCAAAGGAACACAGGATGATACAGATATTCATCTGTACATTTTTTCGCTGCCAGATTTCCACCATCTCTATGGTTAAATGGGAAAATGATAGGTTTCTGACTTGATAATCAATTTGATAATCAGTTGGGGCTTGAGCTCCCCAAGACCATTTCCAGAAATGTTGACAATTGTAAACAGGTACTTTATTGTCTATTTCACATTGCTTTATATTTCCACATTACCTAAGGTGCTGTGGTGTGGGTTTTTTTTATTCCACCATCACCTATAATCTTTAAGAAGAAATCATAAACATGATGGAGTTGTAATGGGTTATTTTGCAAAGCAAAGTATGGAACATATGAAGCTGTGTCACACCGAATCAGATTGTTGGTCATCTCCATCTCAGCCTACCCCATCTCAGTGCTCTTCAAATGTTATTGGACTCCAACTCCCATCAGCCCCAGTCAGCCCCTACAATGGTCAAGGATGATGGATGCTGTAGTTTACAACAATTGTGTGTGTGTGTACCAATATTGTTCCAATAACAACCCCATTATAACAATCCCAATTTTATCCAATTAATGCCATTTATTCAAATGTCAAATTATACAATTTAATTAAACTGGGCCCCCTGCATGCTAGAATTGATGAGTTCATTCTTCTATATTTTTTCTGTGTTCCAAATTGTTAATAATTTTCATTCCATCCAGATGTAAGAATCTCCTATATAACAGCTACTATCTTGTGATTTCAACTTGTGTTGGTATAATAGGTAATTTATAAAGTTTTAAGCGAAGAACTTCAGCTGTAATCCTCATTCTTTCCTGCGTGTGACAATTTCCCCCATGATGTTTTCCCATCCATATATGGGTGCTGTATCCTTTACTCCTGCAACTGTTGATGGTTCCTGTCATGTCTTGGGAGAAGCTGTTATCTCACAGTTTCCAAAAGTCACTGCATCGCTTCGTCCCGTGATTTGCCTTCCAATAAACAAGCCACCTTTGCCATTTTTCCAGTCTAGGAAGAACGGTCTGAATCCAGACTGCAGTTACTTAATCCAAAAACTTCTGTTCTCACTGCTGGTAGAATCTTTTCCTTCCTGCTGCTGATTTATGCCCATTTATCCTTATCTCATACACATTCCTTTGTGGATAATGGAGGTTACGGAAGATTTTGCTCTATATTTTCAAAGCACAGCATTTCTTCGCCCCTTCCCTCTCGGCTCCTTTCTCTCAAACATGCAGTTCCAATTTTGTTAAATTCCACATTATACAGTAGTACCTCAGTTTTTGAACGTAATCCGTTCTGGAAGACTGTTCGACTTCCAAAACATTAAAAAAACCAAGACGCAAAGGGCGATCTGCAATTTCAATGGAGACAATTGGGGGGGGGACTCAGCGGAAGCCGTTTGACTTCCAAAAAGCGTTCAAAAACAGAAGCAATTACTTCTGGGAACGTTCTGCATCCGAGACGCTCAAAAACCGAGGTACCACTTTATTCCAATTTCTTCCATCCTGACTTGTGCAGATATTTTAAAATAAAACTTGCATTCTGGGGCAGAGGGTTGCCATATCATGAATGTAGAGAAAAACCATAAGTTAGCAAACCTTGGGATCCCTCCTCGTATTGTCTCTTTCACCTAATGAAATCCGCTCTCAATCCAAACCTTTCACATCCTTGTAGCTGGGTTGTATTTGCGGTTTCTTATCTCATCGTCTCTGACACGCACCTGTAGTTTACTTCAATTAAAGTCCAATTAGCAGGATAACCTGTGCTTCCAGGAATGGGATTGGGGGGGTCGCGGCAGCCAGAGTGCTCTATGCACCCAGTGTCTTTGCCTGCCCTCACATTCCATGGGGAAGCGAGTGCCAGACCTCCAGGCAAACTGCAGATGGGAGCCTGATTCCTCTTCCAACTGAAGAGGAATGCAGATAATGAAATTCCCCCATCAATATCTGATTATCTCCGTCTCTCTTTCTCTCTCTCCTGCTATGTTGGGAGAGTCTCCATTCTTGGCGGAGGTAATTTGCAACGTCTTCATACTAAGCATAACAATAACATGAGTTGTTTAAAATTCATAATTTGGTGGAGGCCATTGTATAGATTATTATTTTTCTACTCACATGCTCAGTATATTCTGCAACAGTTTATTTTTAGCCTGGCTGAAATTGTAGTCACAAATAATACCAAAAGCAGGGGAGAGGAATGGTGCCGGTTGTATTTAACAATTCGTTTTAACTTATTTTCCCGTCTCTTCACCATCACTGACAAACATGAGTTAGCCAATCTCTTGAGTGATTAACCAAAAAAATAAAGCCATCTCATCACTATAGCAACCAATATTATATCATGGGAATAACAACATGAAAGCACCTCAGTAACCAGTTTATCATAATTAATTAAGATATCATGTTGTGTTTAAATGAAGGAGGATATATGTGGATCTTTCTGAAAATGAGAAAGATACCTTTTCACCTTCAGCTAGCATCCTATGCATGCTTGCAGCAGGGGGCTCTTGCTGTTCAATTATCTAGAGTTTTTAACAAGCTTGTTTGGCATAATTGGTGTAAAAATAGAAAGTTTCTAAAAGGCGGCACCCAAGCTGGGCTGAGAGTCAAGCAAAGTAATCTTAGTGTGGAGCTCATTGTTTACAGGTGATATAAATATGTCATTCCTTAGATCCTCTGAAACTTTACAGAAATGTGAAAAAGGAGTCACATTACAAAGTACAATGTCTTTTTTATTTTATTTTTTGTCGTGGGGACTAGGTATGAAAGCTCACAGACCAGGGCATGAGCTGCAGCCAAGTATATCTGAGTGCCTGAGTGGAAGACTGGTGGGGCGGAGGCAGGATCCTATATGTGCCCCCCTTGAGTTGTGGGGAAGAAAAGCATGAACAGAATTAGTTCTTGAAGGAAACAGGAATTCCATATTGACACGCCCAGGGAAAAAAAGGCCATATAACTGGCTCAGATTATTGCGTTTAAGTGATTTGAGTCAACAGTGTAAAGTACAAAAACCTAAACGGAAACAAAAGATAAGTGAGGCCTAACTCTCTCTTTAATTAAAGGTTTCTTTCATACAGTAAATAACAACAAAAATATCACATTATTTCATCCAGAAACATGGGAAGACTTGAGATTGGTAGTGTTAATAAATTCCCACATTCAGCTTCTGGAATCATGAGTGAGGGAGAAAAATGTCTCTCTTTACACTGTCCCCACATGTTGCTCCCTGTCCCACTGTCTAGTTTTTTCTCTAAGCAGCTCCAAATACTGTATCCTTTCATATGGATATGCATATGGAACTTTCATATGCAGTGCATATGGAACTATGCATAGCAATTCCTTTTCAAAGTGAACATGCCCATAGGGCCTAATTTTTCAGTTCCAAAATTTTACAAACAGAATCCTGTTTTTACAGAGATTTCTGTACAGGCATTTCTTCTTTTCCTCAAACATTTATTAACTGTAAGCTTGTCTATAAACATGGGATCCCATGTTTTTCTCCTTCACTGGCCAAGAGTTAGCCAACAAGTTGATTTCCATGCTTTAGCCAGTGAAGCACATGCTATTGTTAACATGTTCACAACTAACACAACACGTTCCTTTTGAACCTGCCCCAGTAACATTGCTGGGGAATTCATTTGCCTCACATACCATAATTATATCCTTGATACCTTTTACATTAATAAGTCAGTATTGTTTTTCCTCTCTTAGATCTCCAATACATATTGGATATATTTTGACATGTTTTTGCTATTCTCATAAGCATTAAGTACCAGTATTCTTCCAAAATATTTTCAATTTTCTTCTGTCACTGAAAGACTGAATTCTGTCACATGCTTTTATCCCCACGTCATTCCTTTTAGTTGTATCCAGGAGTATTCTATAGATTTTTTATGTCAAACCTTTTGTTATATCAGCTTTTTCATAAGATGTCAGTGGTCTCTTTATGTTCACAAAGGCCCTTTGAGACTATTTTATTTTTTTTGTAGTAAGTAACAATAAGTGAAATATTAATAATAATATACCCTGTAGTTATTTGGAAATAGTTTCTAATTTGTAGATACAGTGGTACCTCGCAAGACGAATGCCTCGCAAGACGGAAAACTCGCAAAACAAAAGGGTTTTTGGTTTTTTGAGTTGCTTCGCAAGACGATTTTCCCTATGGGCTTGCTTCGCAAGACGGAAATGTCTTGCAAGTTTGTTTCCTTTTTCTTAAACCCGTTAATACAGTTGCGACTTGACTTCGAGGAGCAACTCATAGCACGCGGTGTGGTAGCCTTTTTTGAGGTTTTTGAAGACTTTGGTGATTTTTGAAGCTTTTCCAAAACTTTTCCGAAACCGTGCTTCGCAAGACGAAAAAAACCGCAAGACGAAAAAACTCGTGGAACGAATTAATTTCGTCTTGCGAGGCACCACTGTAACAGGAAAGGATAGCTGTAGACAGTGATTTCTTTATCTGGATTGATGATGCAGATTTCAGTCAGGGCAGGGGTAAAGTTTTGCAGCCCTGCAGAAATGCTATCAGAAATACAACAATTCAACACAAGCAAAACTATGTGAATTTGCTTAGTATGTATAATTCATTCAAGTTGCACAATCCAGTTTTTCTTGGCATACAATGTCAGGATATGTTTTTAATTCAGAGTACCCACAGTCATCAAATACTACCATTTTCTTAGCAAAATAGATACCATACCTGACGGACGGCCTACAGAAGTTTGGTTGACCCAGTATCAGTTCAGTTGGTTGCTGGTGTCAATGGAATGTTTAAAAACGTTGATCTTTTTCTCTGATTTACATCTGCAGTACATTTACTCCAATCATTATTTTTGGTTGTGAAAAAACATCCAATTATTAATCGCAGAAGATGGGTTTTCTTGTTGGTAACGGAGCATATTTCATAGAAGTTAACAAAAACACTGTTCAGGCTTTTCCATATGAAGAAATATAATGCCCATTATAGGATAGAAAATAAAGTCACAGACATCATTTATTTTCTTGCTGATCCCATATAAAAATTATGTTGTGAACTTGATTATCAGGATGAATTTGTTGTCTTTTTAACAGGATGTTAAAGAGGTTGCATATTTTTGGTTGCTAGAATAAACTGATTTCTTATACATTACAGCTTGACTTACATAATGGAGGTAAACTAATACTACTATTTTCTGCTTCTCCCTCCTCCCTTTTTTCGTGCCCTTTCATTTAAGCTACAAATGAAAAGGATCCAGGTGACTGCTGTGTTAATTGTGTGCATGTATGCATGCATGTATTTTAAGTGTTCATTACGGCTTTATTAATTGTACAATGTAACAACAGCAAAATCAGTGCATGCTTATTCAGAAGTAAGACCTATGGGACTTACTGCCAGCTAAGCGGGTGGCGCTGTGGGTAAAACCTCAGCGCCTAGGACTTGCCGATTGCATGGTCGGCGGTTCGAATCCCCGCGGCGGGGTGAGCTCCCGTCTTCGGTCCCAGCTCCTGCCCACCTAGCAGTTCGAAAGCACCCCTAAGTACAAGTAGATAAATAGGTACCGCTTTATAGCGGGAAGGTAAACGGCGTTTCCGTGTGCTGCGCTGGTGCTGGCTCGCCAGAGCAGCTTTGTCACACTGGCCATGTGACCCGGAAGTGTCTCCGGACAGCGCTGGCCCCCGGCCTCTTAAGTGAGATGGGCATACAACCCTAGAGTTGGACACGACTGGCCCGTACAGGCAGGGGTACCTTTACCTTTAAGGTAAAGGTAAAGGTACCCCTGCCCGTACGGGCCAGTCTTGCCAGACTCTAGGGTTGTGCGCTCATCTCACTCTATAGGCTGGGAGCCAGCGCTGTCTGCAGACACTTCCGAGTCACGTGGCCAGCGTGACAAGCTGCATCTGGCGAGCCAGCGCAGCACATGGAACGCCGTTTACCTTCCCGCTGGTAAGCAGGTCCCTATTTATCTACTTGCACCTGGGGGTGCTTTCAAACTGCTAGGTTGGCAGGCGCTGGGACCGAACGACGGGAGCGCACCCCGCCGTGGGGATTCGAACCACCGACCATGCGATCGGCAAGTCCTAGGCGCTGAGGTTTTACCCACAGCGCCACCCGCGTCCCTTACCTTTACCTAAGTATATATGGGGCCTCTGGCTAAGTCACCAGGACCGTTGTATCAAAATGGAAGGAGAGCCCTCTCTATGTGTTGTAGTCAAGGAGAACTTGTGACAAGGTTGTGGATCTCTGCCAAGTAGCCCCTCCACATCCAGTTCAAATGTTGGAAAGGTGGGAACCTTCATACAGACTTCCATGTGATCTACAGTTCCATATCACGTGTCAGCCTTTTCATGCGAAGGCTTCCTCTTCCCCCTAGACATTTGCACTGGGCATGCAAGAGCCAAGATGACATATTCTCCATAACTGTTAGCATTACGCTTGAAGAGGGCTAATGTCTATCACAATTCAAGTTATCCCACCGGCAGACACATTCTAGGAGGAAGTTATTACCATGGACAAAATATTTTACAAGATTGTATAAATGTTTCAGCTTCACTTATAGAAGATTACATCTTGCACATAACAAATTGACCACAGTATAAAAATAGACCATTTAATGATGACAATACAATACGCAGTGTTTTGTTTTCTAAATGAACAATTAAAATGGCACTGCAGTAGCTTTACACTTATATGTTACCTCACGGACCACCTCTCTTCATATAAAATATCCTGGAATCTGCATTCACCATCTGTGGCCTTCCTTCGTGTGCCTCTTCCATGTGAGATCCAGAGGGTGGCCGCATGAGAAAAGGCCTTTTCTGCAGTGGCCCCCTGCTTGTGGAATGCTCTCCCCAGGGAGGTTGTCGTGCATTTTCATTATATATATTTTAGGCGCCAGGTGAAAACTCTTCAACCAGGCATTTGGCTGATTAATATCCTACAGCCTTTTAAATGTGTCTGTGGGAAGGGGGGAGTATTGTTTTGTTGTTTTGGTTTAATCATTTACATGTGATTTATTTTGTATTTTATTCTGTGAGCCACTCTGAGATCTTTTGATGAACAGTGGTAAATAATAATAATAATAATAATAATAATAATAATAATAATATCAGTCTACACTGGGGAACCGTGCAGGGCCAAAATCTCCTTGTTTTTCCAACAGTTCTATGGAAGCTGAAACAACCACCAATTTGATCACCAGCAGTGTTCTTTCTGCAGAGAAATATCTAGGGGTAGCAAATGTGAGGTACAGTGGTACCTTGGTTGTCCAATGCCTTAGTTGCCGAACAAATCAGCTCCCGAACATCGCAAACCCGGAAGTGAGTGTTCCAGTTTGCAAACTTTTTTGGAAGCCGAACATCTGATGTAGCTTCCAGTTGGCTGCAGGAAGCTTCTGCAGCCAATCAGAAGCCGTGCCTTGGTTTTTGAACCATTCCGGGAGTCGAACAGACTCTCATTACAGATTAAATTCAAGAACCAAGGTACCGCTGTATTCCAGTATTGGGCTGGTCATTTGGGATCTTTTCTTTTGGGGAAAGCTTTTTTCCCCCAAAAGCCATCCCAGAACCGGTTTCAGTCGTGTGACGCCCCATTCTCATCAAGTGTATGTTGAAACAATTTTTTTAAAAAAAATCATTTGTAGAGATTGACAAATGGAGCAGGGAGGAGAGCAGGAATGGACCATCTCCAGGTGTCAGGAGTGCATGCAGGAGCCAGGTCCTGTGACCGGTAGGGCTTTGCAGGACTGGGGCTTTCCTAAGTTTGTTCTGAAGAGGCAAGGTGCGGCCGCACAGGTGAGGCCGATTGGTAACTCACAGCACCTGATGGCAGGAGCTGGTAAGGGGTATAAGGTCAGCTTTTCCCTTTGGCTCTTTGCCACAGCAACACGCTTCCTGCCATGCTGCGTTTGGCTTCTTGACTCCTTGCTTCCTCATCCTCGGACCCTTGGCTTCTTGACTCCTGGTTTCCTGACCCTCAGACCCTTGGCTTCTTGACTCCTGGCTTCCAGACTCTCATTCCTGCTTCCACCCTGCCGTCTTGCCCCAGGTCCTGTCGTCCTCCGCCAGGACTTCCACCGCCCGTAAACTGGACCGTGACACCAGGGAATTTCAAAGGTGGAGGAATCACAAAGAGACAAAGGTCTTGATAAGGGGAGGAAGTAGCCTTGCAAGTTTCCACCTCTTGCTTTCTCTTTGGTCTGCAGGCTGAAGGTTCCTCATCCCTGATCTTTTGCCTCCACTGACTACTGGCAGCATCTCTCCCGGGTACCCGTCAGTCTTTCCCAGCCCTGCCTGCAGATGTCTGGGATTAAGCTAGTGACTTTTTGAATGCAAAGCATGTGCCTCTGCCACTGAGCCACTTGGTTAATATTACGAATAGATTAAAATTTCTCCTGCATGTCGAGGTCCCCCAGGCCACCCCTAAATAAATCACAATTCACACACAATTTTTGTTTAAGATTTTTAGCATAATTTTGGCCATAGCTTTATTAAATTGCATAAATGTGAGTGGTTGCTTAGGCATTGGTTCTGACTATCTGTCCCCTGCCCCGAGACAGAACTGACTTCTGGATTCCAGTGAAAGCCAGTCAGGGAAAACGATATTGGGGAATTAATGGAATTCCCTTTCTGCAGCAGCATTGGAGGGGCAGGCACCACCAATCCTTACCCCTCCACCCACCAATTTTTTCACCAATGCCTAACTGCAACCTTACAAGTTGTGACGATTTGCTACGCAGTAGGCAAAAACCAAATGGCACCAGCCAATCAGCCAATTGGACAAAATTCCTACCAGGCCCCTGCCCGAAAGGCAGATGACCCCATGACAGGCATAGCAAGGTCAATGCAATAGCCCTAGATTAGGGAGGGTGGGCAGGCGATCCGATGCACACAGCAAAAGAGCCCAGTCAGTGCTGCGTGACTTGGGATAAAGTTAAAAAAAGGAAAAAAAGAAAAAGAAAATTCAGAATTTTGAAGCACTGGAGAATTATAAAGTAAAATGTGTAATTTTCCAGAAAGTTCCACTGCCCACCTCACCCTGGTCTGAGGTTGACTTCTTTGAAGCTCATTTTCCTTCAGCAGACAGTAGCCTAACAGCATTTATAACCAGTCTCAATTGGTGGATTTCTCACCAGACTATGTGTTCCATCTAGTGTCAGCTCACAGACAGTATTATTTTATTTACTTATTCCAGTGCTTATCTTTCCTCAACACTACATAATGAGATTAAGGGAAGAGCAGGGCAAATGGCAGTAAGTTTAATTTCCACCCTCCAAACAATTTCTATCCACTAAAGTGAGATGCCATCAATGGGGAAAAAATGCCACTGTTGGACCTTTGGGTAACATATAGGTGTAAAGCAGTGACATTTTAATTGTTCATTTAGAAAATAAAACACTACGCATTGTATTATTATCATTAAACGGTCTATTTTGCTATTGTGGTCAATTTGTTATGTGTGATGCGTAATCTTCCATACGTGAAATTGAAACATTTATACAATCTTCAAAAACATTTTTCCGCAGTAGGAACTTCACCCCAGAATGTGGTGGGGTACTACATTTTATGTTGCCGCTTTTGTGATGTTGCTTCAGCGTGTTTTCTTAGTAGCGGCTAGAATTTCAGGGAACGGGTTGATTAGAATTTCAGTCCTCTGAACTTTGAAGGGGACCTTTCCTTGTTCATGTGGCCAGAGCAGAACTGGAGCAGCAATGTTCTCTGAAGTTCACACACCTATGAGTGAGCAGTGTGTGTGTGTGTGTGTGTGTGTGTGTGAGAGAGAGAGAGAGAGAGAGAGAGAGAGAGAGAGAGAGATACCCACACACGTGTGTGCGCAAATGTGCACATCTAGCATACTGTTTGGTGTCTTGCCTCTTTGATACGTACACACCATGCCAGGCACAATGGATTTCCTCCCTTTTTGTGCGCGTGGACTCTTGGTGCTACTGCCGAATCGGCACAGAGAAGGGTTGCCTTGGTGATGTCCCCGAGGTTAAGGTCACTTTCCATTTTCAAAGACGGCTAAGGTGGTGATGTGATAGCTTTGAGTGATATTTGTAGGAGTGGTGAAAAGGGAGCTGCTGACAGGGTTGTGCTCCCATTTCTCCTCCTCCCTGGGAGAGGCACGGTTTCTCTAACAAGGTTTTTTTCCTGTTCTTTTCAAAGCATTTTGATCCCGGTGCAAATTAAATTACAAGCTTAAACACTCTTTGCATTTAATCGCAGAGTAGGAGCTAGATCTGCATTGCTTCTACCTGCATGGCACCCTTGTAGTTTCCACCTAGTTCCTGGGGAGTAGAGGGCAGCTCCAGGGGAAGAAAAACTATTCTGTGGGGACCTAATAATGAGTTGTATGCATAGAGAATCTTAGCATCTCTGTGGATGTGATCAAAACTTGGGTGGTACAATATGGTTAGCAAAGCAGAAGCTGATGACTATTACAGAATTCATTGCGAATTCTGCAAAATCCCAACCATATTGGGCTTTAAAACGTGTTTATAGCTCTCCTGATTGCTAGAGCAACCATAAAATATGGGAGCAAGTTTTACCTTGAAGTTTGTTTATATAATCACAATGGGACTGTCTGTGGTGGTGATGTCAGTGCCCAGGACTGACTCAGTTACATGTCACCAACTCTCGTGGTTCCATACTAAGTACAGTAGTACCTCAGGTTAAGTACTTAATTCGTTCCGAAGGTCCGTTCTTAACCTGAAACTGTTCTTAACCTGAAGCACCACTTTAGCTAATGGGGCCTCCTGCTGCTGCCGCGCCGCCGGAGCACGATTTCTGTTCTCATCCTGAAGCAAAGTTCTTAACCTGAAGCACTATTTCTGGGTTAGCAGAGTCTGTTGTAACCTGAAGCGTATGTAACCCGAGGTACCACTGTACCTCCAAATTCTCCCTGTTTTTCCTTTTTTCTAGTCTTATCTGTCCAGAGCTGGTTTATAAAACATTCCTGAGAAAATAATAAAGGCTTTTGTCATTTCCCCTTTTTTGGCATTGTAAGCAATCCAGTAAATACTTTGAATTGACTCAGGAGTTTGACACTACCTTTCTTCCTTGAGCCCCTTTTCCAAAAAAATTCCAGGTAAATATTGTAGATGAATTAGTCCCAAATCCTTAACACATGTGCACATAGTTGGAAAACAAAATGAAAATTCTACCCAAATCTCCTCATTTTGAGACCAGACGAATGCAGGCAAATGAGTACATTGAATTTATGCATATCTGGGTTTACTGACTAAGCAATCTGGCTTTTTAATACAAAATTCAAATGCATAAATACGCGACACGACATTATCATTTGGTTAGCTTTCGTCCCTTGCTGCCCCAGAGTTAATTTTTGCACATTTTCCATACCCATTCTCTTGTTCATACTTCATCCTTGGTTTGTTTGTTCATTTTAACAATAATGAATGTTTATAGTTGCATATCTACCATATCTACACTGGAAAAAAAGTGCTGTTCATTAGGACTGGGATAGTTCTGGGATCGTGACATTGCCAGATTTTAGCTTCTGTTTGCTGATGAAATTAGCCAGATATCTAACTGTGAACGAGTGCAGCGGTGCAAATTTGCTGGGGGAGGGGGATGGAGAAAAGAAAAGAAAGAAAAAGGCTGACAAAGTGAAGGACGAAGGGCAGGCTATGGCCAGGAAAAAGGACAATGAGAGACTTCTGTCCAGACAAATGACTCAAAAGCTTGCACCTCTTTAATGAGGTCTTTTACAGACAAGTTTTCTAAAAAGAATGGCTGCATGTAAATGCCCTCCAAGCTCACAAGGACTTGTCTGAAGGAAAACAAGAGCACTAGAGGCACTATTGAACTGAAGGCAGAGTAGAGCCATTTGTGTATGTGGTGAGAGGCCTTCTGCGGTAATTTAAAGCTCTTAGTGCATGTTCATTTCACTGAAAGAACAAAGGGCAGAATCGGTGAGTTGGCCGGTGGCATATATCTTTGTATTAGATGCTGGTTTTCGTTCAACGGCACAATAATCAAATACACGAGCAAAAGGCTTGTCTGTGCTAATGTGCAAATCCTGCAACCTTGCTGCGTTCATACAAGCAAGAATTTGCTGAGTCTGTGATGCTTCATCACTACCAATTCAACAATATGAACTTCATTGCGTTGACCTCTGATTCACGCACCCGGACCCTCCCCCCCTCTCTCTGGAGGGCCAGAGCTCATTCATATCTGGTTTAGAGTGTTATCCAAAGGCCCACAACTCGCAGACTTAACATACAGAATAAGAGAACAAGAAAAACATACGTTTGAAGAAGATTGGAAAACATTTATTGAATACATGGGAAATAATTGTGTACAGCTGAAAACGCTGGCAGCATTAAGATAAATTCAACAGTGTAGATAAGTTTTGATGGATGTAATGAATACTGAATGGTATGGTTTTTGTAAAATATGCAGGGATCTATGACTATCTTAAACTGTAAAACGGAAAATGGAATAAAAATGATATGCAGTAGTACCTCGGTTTTCAAGTGTGTTGGAAGCCGAACGTTTTGGATTTCGAACACCAAAAACCTGAAAATAATTGCTTCAGTTTTTGAATGCGCCTCAGAAGTCTAACGGCTTCTGCTGCATGTTTTTTCAATTTTTACAATTGAACTTGCACCTTTGCGCCTTGGTTTTCAAACGTTTCGGAAATCGAAATGTCTTCCAGAACAGATTATGTTCAAGAACCAAGGTACCACTGTATGCAATAGAGTGTCATCCAAAGTCTGCAAACAGTGGAGTTATAGCGTGAGGTGCAAATGAAACTCATAACCCACCTACTTTCAGCAGCCAGAAACACCATAACCAGACACTGGAGAGACCGGTCAGGAGTAAGCATGGACCAATGGTACCAAAATAGTATGGCATAAATAAATAAATAAATAAATACATTTTCCATAATATCCTAACTAGACTAAAGGATGTCGAGAGACAAAATATTATGGCAGCTGTAAACAAAATTTGCTCCCCCATATTCTATGATTTAAATATCTTAGATAGCAGAGCCAATTACGTCACTAAATTAATAATCCCAGCCCAACGTAGGGCTTTTATGCTGGCCCGGTTGAATGTTTTTCCCTCAGCATTTGTCTGGGGAAGATATCAAAACATTCCTAGAAACAAGAGATTCTGCAGATGCTCTATGAATGTCCCGGACACTGTAGAGCATATTCTCTTTCATTGCCCATTGTACAGTACGCTCCGTCAACGCGTGCTGTCCCCTCTTTTGGGTGGTCTGGAACCCCAGCAAGGTGAATGTGTGGGATTCTGCCTATCCGACGTTGACCAAAGGGTAACGGCGGGGGTAGCCGAGTTTTTGGTAGCAGTCCTCCAAGGAGCAGGTTAACAAGGAAAACCACTGATTCTATATGTATATATATATATATGTATGTAGCCAACTGCTGCCTTTTTATATATATTTCAAGGCTTTTATACGTTATTTTCTCTTTTATGGTTTTATTTGCATAATGCCTAATAAAGGTTTGATTTGAGATTTGAAATAAATAAATAAATAAATAAATAAATAAATAAATTCTTCCTGTAGAGCACAATTTTTCACCCACTGTAAATGCCAATGTAGGCAGCTCAATTTGAACATAACACTAGGCATCCCTTCTACATCTCCAGTGTCGTTGTGAGGAGGTAATTTGTGGCTTCCATCTTAGATTAGGTGCAGTTCAGCATGTCATCTGAGCACTGAGCTGAGGTTAATCGTAACTGTGGTTAGTGAAAACTTGCCCGTCTCAAAAACTGTGGTTTGAAGTTGGTTTGTTTCTATCGGTGGTAGGTAGTATTCGCCACGGTTTGTCCGGGTTTGAGCGACATGGCCGGCTGTGGTTGATCAAAAACAGATACAGATGCTTCCAAACTCCTTCAGATGACCACGTTGGAGGGAGAAGCAAGGAACGCACAAGCCTTGAGGAAAGCTAGTTTCATTCCCAAACCAAGCCATTGTGTGATAGAGAAGAAAAACAAGCAACTAGCTTTTGTTCTTTAGCTCACAATGGAGAGGATTCAGACTTGGGTGTGGCAAAAGTTGAGCATCCGATGTCCCAATGCAGATGTACCTGTTACTTCTGAATTAGAAAGGGCTCATAGAGTGGTGTTTTCGGGGGATGGGTTAAATATTTTTTGCATGCATGCAATCTGGTCATAACAACATTACCATTATCTATATTAAAAGCATGGCTGATGTGCTTGAAAGTGTCAGCCTTTTAAGTCATCGAATTCTGTGTTGTCTCACTTCTCTGGAATGTTTTCTGTTCCCACATTTTCCTAGCTGTGATCATCCTATCATTTGTGTGTTTCTTTTCTCTGCAGAGACACTGAACCAAGCGTCTCCTTCTGTAAAGCTGGAAGAGGTTATTCATTTAGCAGAGCTCTGCATTGAAGTCCTACAGCAGAACGAAGAGCACCATTCAGAGGTGAGGATAACGGCATTAGCTGTACTATAATGCTCAATAGGCACCGTCTATGGCCTCGGTGTGAAGCAATTCTGTCAAAAAACATTACAGCGAAAGCCTGTGACATATGTTAAAGGCAATTCACATTTGCAGAGCCGTAATAGTTTTGAAGGTTATGAAAAGTGAAGTGAAATAAAACCCGACTTGGGTTTTCTCTTGAATAAGCTTCAGGTTTCAACATTAAAAATAAATAAATATAAACAGCAGATAAAGCAGAAGGGAAAGGGAGAGATGCGTCTAGTTGTCAGTCCCGAAATCTCACAGAGTGCATAGTGCGAATGATCCAATTTCCCATCTCTTGACTAAAATAAATAGCAGAAGAGAAAGAGGGGAGGCCCTTATGAATGACACTAGATTTAAAAGTTAGAAGGCAGAGGCACGTTTAGTATTGCTGTAAGCTAACCAACGACACAGCCCCATTTAATCTGTCTTTTTCTTTTAAAAAAGTGGATTCAGTCCATGAGGAAGCTCTGTTAAATGAATGAACATGCATTCTGCTCACAGGCAAGTCCTATTTGTTTTGGGGAAGCAAATGTTGGAGACATCCCTAAATAACTTCCACTGAAGCCACGCGGTACCAGTGATATTTCTAGAATTAAGAGTTCCCTTTATTTTACAAAATGAACAAATATATTTCATACACTTGCATTAATATTGTTGTTATTAAGCGTGTTAAAAGTTTGATCAACTAGCTTGCAAAGATGCTTGGAAGGAAGTTCATATTTTCTGAAATAAAAACCTTTTGTAAAAAAATTTCTGGGAAATCATACAAAGTGGTAAACTAAGATATGGTGTCTATAAATATGATCATTCAAAACATCTGCTTTTATCTCACACTGTCGATTCTAGATTTTAGCTTACATCTGTCATGTGTGAACTTGTTATGGATATTTTATTTTATACTGAAGAAACAGCTGTTTCAATAATTTGAAAAGCACTCCCAAGAGGCATTATTCTTCACTAGTATTACCACTGCGTTACTCTGTAAATAATTACTTAATAAAATGTATATGTGGGTTTTGTCTTCTGAAAATATGCATTAAAGTGAAACTTTTTTAAAAGAGTCATAGGAAATGTCAGAACTTACATCCTTATGTTTTTGTTCTTAAATTGCAATTTTAGTGCATAGTTCTGGAAATAATTTTACATACAGACATACATTTTATAATTCTTATGAATATTTCTTCTTGAAAAATATTCATTATATATCTCTCCAAATATTAATAACTGAAAATAACTTGATACTATTAAAGACAGTATAGATCTCGTACCATTGTAGGAAAAGAGAACCTGTAATCTGCTGGCTTCAAACCCATGTTTAACCATTTTAACTTTTTCCCCCCCACAACACTACCAAAATTTTGGATTCCCTCAGGGAAAAGAGGTATGTAGCTCATCTCAACCAAGGCAGGACATTTTTTTCCATGGTTCCATGCATGGAATTGTTAACCACTTTCGAACATGTCGCATCAACTCTGTTCATTGATGGTTTCCTTTCCCCATATTTATCTTCCTTCTAAAATCCATCATACTGGTATCTTCTCTTTCCTCCGTGTGGTTCTGCCTTTAAGTTTCACCTCTCTCATGGAGCCATCAAACAGCCTTGAGAAGAACTGGAGAACCTTTGACCCTCCAGATGTTGCTGGACTGTAACTCCCATCGTCTTTGATCATTGGCCGGTTGGCTCGACCTGATGGACATTGGAGTCCAGCAACACCTAGAGAACCAAATCTTCTCCAGACCTGTCCTTTAAAAGACACATCAATAAAATCAAACTAATGAATCCATCACTGGGTTGTGAACACAAAGACGGTAAAATGTGCATGGTAAGTTTGGAGCTTTTCAGGGCCTAGACTCAAGTAGGTTGGTATCCCGTAGCCTGTATCCTATAAGGTAAAAGGACCCCTGACCGTCAGGTCCAGTCGCGAACAACTCTAGGGTTGTGGCACTCATCTCGCTTTACTGGCCAAGGGAGCCAGCGTACAGCTTCCGGGTCATGTGGCCAGCATGACTAAGTCGCTTCTGGCGAACCAGAGCAGCGCATGGAAACACCATTTACCTTCCTGCTGGGGCGGTACCTATTTATCTACTTGCACTTTGACGTGCTTTCGAACTGCTAGGTTGGCAGGAGCTGGGACCGAGCAACGGGAGCTCACTCCGTCGCGGGGATTCGAACCACCAACCTTCTGATCGGCAAGCCCTAGGCTCTGTGGTTTAGACCACAGCGCCACCCACGTCCCATATGTATATGTATCCCATATAGAACACTCAAACCTACCTAGAGCCAGGAGATCCATGAAGGCTTCCAACGTGGCTGCAATTGTCCACCAAGCAGGATAAGGGAATCTGAAAAGAATCTCATCTAGCAGGAGGCAACCCGTGTCACAGATGGTCCCCCAGGGAGAAGCTGCAGAGAAGGGATAGATGCCGTGTGTCACTTCAGTCTTGAGCAGAGAGTCAGCAAATTGGAGCCACTGCTGAGTATTGTTCTGTCGACTGTGTAGCAAGTGCTGCCATATAGTATAATACACATTTTAAACAATAGTCTGGAAAAAAAGAAATCAGCCTTTAATCTCATACAATGACTTTTCTCTCTCTCTTCCTCTCAGAGTGCATGTGATAAATCACTAATTGCATTCATTTTGGTGTCTTGTTATATGGAACAACGTTGTGTCTATGATATTTGTCTGTCTAGTTTAACCACTTTATTCATAGGCATCAGTGGGTCAAGAGAATTTTTCCAATACAATTGAATTCCCTCCCCCCCCACACACACACACTATATTGTTTCTCTGCAAGGATATATAGAGATGGGAAAGAAATTGACTGGTTTCCTGGGCTGCATTGTGTGTTGCTTTTAGTACATGCTCAAAATGAGATATTTAGTAATGAAAGCAAAGCAAGATTGGGGAGAAGATTATATAAAGGGAAATATTTTAATGCCTTTTTCTCCCAATTTCAGCTTTTGAGCTAATTAATTAGATGGTTATTTATATAGTTTGATGTTCTTCCTCTTAATTGATTTCATTTTTGCAGTATTTTTATCTGAGATTTCTAGTTAGAGGAAGGAAGAATCTGACCTCTGGTTTTCACATAGGCACTGGTTATACTTTTTGATGCAACCAATTACCATTTTCTTCAGTAACAGGTAGAGAATGGTCCGGTCATTGTAAGAGCTAACCGATCTTGGAAAATACTTTTTCAGCTGTCAACAATATTCCCTTTCTAGCTGCAGCCATTAAACCCATGCCAAAAATTACCAAAGTCATAAAAGAGTCAAGGATGTGAGTGACACCTATGTGGACATTTTTAGTATCTCAGTGCTTCGTTACTCTTAAGAGTCCTGATTTATTAGCAGATATGTCTAAGTACCTGTGGCTATCATTCATATCTACTGTAGTCACAATGATATGTTACTTCTAATAACTACCGTTAAGGAATTCCTTATCAGTCATCTACAATATTGTTGTTTCAGGGGGGGAAATGCCACAATGTTGTATATTAATATTTTGTATTTATCCAGGGTAGCATATATCTCCGTAGCTGATACCGGTGAAATATGCAAATGGTACATAGGAATATAAGAATCTGCCATTTACCAAATTGGACCATTAATCAATCACAAAAAATCAGTCGGTAGAGCAGGAGACTCTTACTCTCTCTTTTTATATATATAATAATTTTTATTGAGTTTACATTATTTTTACCATAATTACAATCCGTTAGAATCATAATGTCACCTATAGCCTTGCTCAAACTGAGCCTCAACTTCACCCCCTCCCACTGCTTGGCTTTCATAAATATTCACTTACAACTTAGCATTTCTAAATCAACCTACAGTGGTACCTCGGGTTACAGATGCTTCAGGTTACAGACTCTGCTAACCCAGAAATAGTACCTCAGGTTAAGAACTGTGCTTCAGGATGAGAACAAAAATCGCGCTGCGAAAGCGCAGCGGCAGCAGGAGGCCCCATTAGCTAAAGTGGTGCTTCAGGTTAAGAACAGTTTCAGGTTAAGAACAGACCTCCAGAACGAATTAAGTACGTAACCAGAGTTACCACTGTATTTACCTTCTTTCATGCTTATAAAATTTACCTTAATAATGGTAAAGAGGTTCCAATAATTTACATTACAAAATATTTTAACTCAAACCTGCAAACGTTCTCAAATGTTTACAGTGTTCTCTCATCTATTGTACAAATTTACTCCAGTCCTTTTCAAACAGCTCATCGCGTTGGTTTCGTATCTTCCCCGTCAGGTTCGCCAGTTTTGCATATTCCATCATTTTAATCTGCCAATCTTCCAATGTTGGAAGTTCCTGCTGCTTCCATTTCTGGGCTAAAAGTATCCACTTGGCTGTGGTAGCATACATAAAGAAATTTATGTCTTTTGGGGGGATTTCTTCTCCAATTATACCCGACAAAAACGCCTCTGGTGTATTAATAAAGGTATTTTTAAAAAACTTTTCCAGTTCATTGTATATCATATCCCAGTAGGCTTTAACCTTAGTACAGGTCCACCACATATGGAAGAAATTCCCCTCCTTTTCCTTACATTTCCAACATTGTTTGTTTTGATTAGGAGACTCTTACTCTCAGAGTTGTGGGCAAAAGATTCCTGCATTTCAGGCGGTTGGACTACATTGACCCTTGTGGTCCCTTTCAACACTACAGTTCTATGATTCTATAATCTAGCTCAGTATTGTCTCCATTGATGGGCAATGACTCTCTAACTCAGGCATAGGCAAACTCAGCCCTCCAGATGTTTTGGGACTACAACTCCCATCATCCCTAGCTAACAGGACCAGTGGTCAGGGATGATGGGAATTGTAGTCTCAGAACATCTGGAGGGCCAAGTTTGCCTGTGCCTGCTCTAGAACCTGGTGACAGAGTTTTCCAGCCCTAGCTGGACATGTCAATAATTGAACCAGAGAGGAGGTCTTCTGCATTCAGAAGTTCATGGAGCTAGTGTGCGTCTACAACTCATTTTCAGAGTCAACCTACACATTAAAACAGTCTCATAAAAGCCACTTTAAGAACAAACATACATTCGTTACATGGCAGCAAGAGAAGGGCCATTCTGACCATTTCAGTTTCTCTCTGTTTTTCTATTTTCCAATATAAGTTCAGGTCTCTGCATTTCTCCATTAAGGTAAAGGTAAAGGGACCCCTGAGCATTAGGTACAGTCGTGACAAATTCTGGGGTTGCAGCGCTCATCTTGCTTTATTGGCCAAGGGAGCTGGCGTACAGCTTCCGGGTCATGTGGCCAGCATGACTAAGCCACTTCTGGCGAACCAGAGCAGCGCACGGAAATGCCGTTTACCTTCCCGCCGGAACAGTACCTGTTTATCTACTTGCACTTTGATGTGCTTTCGAACTGCTAGGTTGGCAGGAGCAGGGACCGAGCAACAGGAGCTCACCCCATCACGGGGTCACCCATGTCCCTATTAGTTTGACTTTTTTTAAAAAAAGTCCTCGTGAAAATTCATCAACATTTAGTTTGAAGTTCTCCCAAGATGTACATTTTATTTGCCCAATATACACATTTTTGCAAGCAATTTTCCGTAATATGATGCATTTCCCACCAGAATATGCTTTTAAGGTGGCCTTTACCGTCTGTAGTTTTTATTGTATCAAAAATAATTTTAAGATTTAAAAAAATCTGCTTTTTTATTAAATCTCCAAAAATATTCCAAGACATTTATCGTCATATACAATTTTTTTCAGTATAAATTTCTTCTTGACTTCCCCCCTTCCTTTCCTGATGTTTGTTTTGTACTTCTCTTTATGAGCTAGTTTACAATACATGTGTTTTTATTATCTAAACTTCACTGTCATTAGTTCTTTCGGTAAGCCACTACTTATGTTTCAAATCCTGCCTACAACTTCATGTATGGGTAATACTTTGGTACAGGCATAGGCAAACTTGCCCCTCCAGATGTTTTGGGACTACAATTCCCATCATCCCTGACCACTGGTCCTGTTAGCTAGGGATGATGGGAGTTGTAGTCCCAAAACATCTGGAGGGCCGAGTTTGCCTATGCCTCCTTTGAAAGATAATCCATCAATGCTCTCCATTCCTCCTTTATCATTATGTCCTCTTAGTTGGGCAGTTAATTTCGCCATTTCAGCATAGTCCATCAGTTTCATAAGCTGTTACTCATAATGTTTTTAACCAATGAAACATTTCTGCCCTCAATGAAATATACCGTATTTTTCCATGTATTAGATACCCCCATGTATATTACGCCCCTATTTTGGGGGACTAAATTTAAAGAAAATGCCATGCTGCTGTGGGACACGCTCCCTAGAGCGTGCGCCTCCTGTGCGGCATGGGGGGGGAGTTCTGTGCCCACCAACCAGATGGCTGGCGGCCCACAGCTCCCCCCCCCATGCCACTATCTGTGTATAGGACGACCCCAGTTTTTTTACATGATTTTTGAGTCAAAAAACCGCATCTAATAGATGGAAAAATATGGTACTCTCTTCCTTCTTCACATAAGTAATATACAATGCAGAATATGACTTTCCTTAATGCAGTTGTTTTTTTCCTAAGCAGAGTGTACACAACTTGCCATTGCTTCATGAAAATGCACGTTTGTGTGTTTCATCGTATTTTCTGTCCATGTTTGGAAATTTGATTTATCTTCCTACTCCCTTTTAATTAAAATTGTGTCTCAATTGTGATACAGGCATTTGCTTGGTGGCCAGATTTGCTGGCTGAACATGGGGAGAAATTTTGGTCTCTGTTTACGGTTGACATGGATTCCGCACTGGAAGCACAGCCACAGGACTCCTGGGATACTTTTCCTCTTTTCCAGTTGCTTAACAACTTCCTAAGAAATGACCGTAAGCTTTTTTTTAACAGTTTAGTTCTATCATAACATCAATTGCAGCTATGAATTATTTTGCCTTTCGAGTGTTCAGAGCTGGCCTAGATCGTGTAAATCTATGTAAACATATGTATTTCATTTAACCCTAGCCTTTTCACATTTGTGAAAGTTGTGACCCTGTGTGCTGGTACATGGGAGTAAGCCCTGGTGGACTCAATGGACTTCCTTTAGAGTAAACATGCATAGGCGTGGGCTGCAAGACAGCTGTCAGCCAATTATGTATATACTAAATTAGATATCAGGACACAGCCATTATATTAAATTAGCAAAAGCTAATAAGATATCTATGCAGAGTGGCTCTAACAGTTTTCTTGCCGAACGGGGTATCATAATTCCTGGGACATCCCCTGTTAGAGAATCATGCTCTGGTTCTGCTATGTGCTGCAGAACAGAGGCATGTGAGCTGCAGAAAGGCTAAAAATCTCTTCTTGCCCTAGAAATTCAGAATTGAATACAGTGGTACGTCTGTTTTCGAATGTCTCTGTTGACTAACGTTTCAAAACTCGAAAGCCATAAACCTGGACATAAATGCTTCGGTTTTCGAACACTTTTCAGAAGTTGAACATGCCGTGTGGCTTCCATTTTGAGTTTCCCTATTGTATTGAGTTTTCCTTTAAAAAAAAAATTAAATTTCCATTTAACAAACCAATCAAATCACATTAATTCCAAATTATACCAATACACAATAAATTCCAAATATTTAACCGAATTTTAAATTTTTCTTGGGGGTACCCATTCTTCGAGTTCAGAAAGGGTCCAATCATCTCATATTTCTACTGCTTTGATATTCACAAGTCCCATCTTCCCATCTCATTGTTGTTATCCTTTTTCTTCCTAATAACCTCCGATTATTTCCACAGGCAAGTTGAATCAAACATTATTTATGTTTCTGTGTGAACTTTGTAATGGTTTCCCATAATTCATCCACGCTGATCCAAAAGTCCTGTTCCAGCGGCCGGTGCTGTATTGAGTTTTCCATGTTGAGTTTTCAGTTTTCAGACGTTTCGGAACTCGAACGGTCTTCTGGAATGGATTACGTTCGAAAACCGAGGTACCACTGTGTTCCACGGGAGAAATTTTAGCAGGCAGATCTCCTTGGCATAAAAATGAAGCCTATGTCTCTCTCGTGCATATTTCCATGTTGCACTTCACAACGATTCATTTCAAAATCTTTACTTATATAGGCGCCCCCCCTTACCCGGCGGGGGTTACGTTTCTGGCCCCCGCGTGCGTAAGTGAAATCGCATGAAGAGGGGAGCACCCTCTAAACACCCCTTAAATGCTCTCTCTGCTGCACGCTCCTAATCTAGACCAAAAATAGTGCACTCAAAAATATCCACAACTAGAATTGAAGCTCTGGGGCTGGCGGGAGGCTGAAGGATGTGCAGGAGAGCAGCAGCAGCTGTACAACGTCTGCACATCAGCTGTTAGGCGGGGAGGCTGAGCAGCATAAACAATCCCTACTGCACCGCCAATCTCTTCTGGGCTTCCTCTGCCCTCACTGACGTCCACAAGGACTCTCCAGCTTTCTCCTGTCATTTCCGGCTTCAAATTGATTTTTTTTTTTCTCTTTATCAAATTATCCTCTAATGGTGTTGTTTTATTTGCTGGTCACCTGAATGATGTAGTGATAGAGACTGATTTTCACAGCTGACTTAGAATTTACTTCCTGCAGCCAATATCTGTATTGCAAGTACCATATTTTTCGCTCCATAAGGCGCACCAGACCATAAGACACACCTAGTTTTTGCAGGAGGAAAACAAGAAAAAAATATTCTGAATTTCAGAAGCCAGAACAGCAAGAGGGATCGCTGTGCAGCGAAAGCAGCAATCCCTCTTGTTGTTCTGGCTTCTGGGATAGCTGCGCAGCCTGCATTCGCTCCATAAGATGCACACACATTTCCCCTAACTTTTTAGGAGGGAAAAAGTTCGTCTTATAGAGCAAAAAATACGGTAAATTGAAAAGGGTTCCTTTTATTTTGGAATGGTATCTGAAAACAGGGCATGCCGAGATAATGTATTTTATGGAGAATCAAGGGGAGATAAACGTTGGTTTCTTTGAAACAAAAATGTAGATATGTGGGTTGTTTTTTTGCATTTTAGAACATAGTTCAAGATGGAATGCAACCATTTAGGGTTCCTCTCCTTTATTGTGAATGGTTGTATTTAATAATTTAATAATGAATAAGTGATAAAATAATTCCGCAAGATTTTTCATAGACCATTGACCAACCAGTACTGATCATCGCACAGACTCTCCAGAAATGGATAACTGGAAGACTTGGATTTACATTCTTTTTTTCCCCATCAGTCAATTAAATATGTAATTACTTCAAATAATTATTGGGGGGAAGCTTTCAAGGGAGGAAGACAATTCATTTAAACGACAGAAAATGCGTTTTCATTATGAAGTAATTATGAACAACGTTATGAAACGCTACTGAGGGAACTCAAAGGCACTGGCATTTTAAAAGACCTAATAGCCCTGATATGTTGGGGAGGGGTGAGTTAATAGCAAGAAAAAGCAGATTTGGGAAGCGTTTTTTAACAGTTGTGTGTCATTTTCCACCCTTGTTCTAACTGTGAGACATAGAGAACCTGATCCTTTCTGGCAAGGAGAACCATTTGGGAATCCCATTTATGCCACCTGAAAGCTTTTGTGAGTTGTAAATAAGATAGCTAAGGGGGAGGGGGGAATTGTAGAAAATAATACATTTTTTCCATCAGCAAACCCGCTAGTTCCTTGTAACCCTTCTGTCTCTAGAAATGGAAGCAGATTACAAATAATTATTCTAAAAGGAATTGACACTTAGATAAAATACACTATTCTATGTAGTTTGTCTGTAATACGCAGACTTTTCACAGAGTTAGCCTATTAAGACCATCGGACAGAATACCCTATGCTTGTGGGACTGGTGTCACAAAGAGTCTTCATGTAACGACTAATAAATATTTGTGACTGAACTGCTAGGTATAAATCTATTGCTGAAGACGTCCAACTCTTTAAAAAGATCCCCACATAAATTTTAAAAAATGGACACCCCCCAAAAAAAAAAAACCTTGAGTGTGTTCTCGTGAGGATAAAAAGGCTAGTGTTAGTAATTAACAAGGAGAGTGAAGTGGAGTCAAATTAGCCATAATAGAGCCCATAGTGACTGTTAAAGTTACCTCTCATTATCAAAAAGCTCATTAGGAAATGAAGAGGTGGAAATCCCACTGGGTTATTCTCTCGGTGAGGCCAGTATCAGAGATGATTTTTCGGGTTTCTTTTGAAATGCAGAACTGTTAGGTCCCCATATTGTAGATGAAGTTAATCTTCAGCCTTTGAAACGTGAAGGGTTGACACCTGCATGTTGTACTATCTCAAGAGCTTTCCGTCAACTCAAAATCTGTGAAACTGCAGATGGTTTCCAGATACACCCGATATGAGTACCCTTGCCAACATTTTAAGTATTATTTTAACCTTTTGATTATTTAATGAAACAGATGTAGTGTTGTTATCACATGTATATATAACCACAGTGCCATATTAGAAATTCCTCGGATGAGAAACTAATTCATTTCCCGTGGAATTGCAACCATTTGATAGGTGGCCCCCTCTTTCAAATAATGCAGAAAGAAAACCTTGAATTGCTTCCGTCTTCTATACCACATGATTCTTCTCTATATACTGACTTCGTCCCTAGTACCTAAAATGCCATCATGTCTAAGATAGCTTCAGAAGACTGTTTGTGCTTACTGCATGTGTGTATATTTACCTAATGGGTTAGAGGCAAAAATATCAATGAAAGTTTGTCGGGCTGTAATTTTCTTTTGCTCAATTTGAAGGATTGGGATGGTTTTATAAGATATACACTGAAATTGGATGAAGTAATTTGGAAGGTATGCCCTTGACTTCAGTAAAAAGCCATATTTGACTAAAGGTCAAGTACTTAAGATCTACCACTACGTAGAAACTCAAGTTTGAATGAAGGTCAAGCATTAAAATGCTTATCTTCAGCGTTACCATGTTTAATGAGTGGAGATGGAATTTGCATAATATGTTGCCATATATTCATCCTTCCCACTGGACCATATGGAGTGATGCTAAACCTCACACTCTGATGCACATCTGTCTACTTAGTGTTAAATCCATGTCGGCATATCATCATCTGTAAGAAATCTGCATACATTTAGATGGAAATCCCAGTGAGTGTTAATGTTGCTATTCCTATGCAAATCTATATAAATAGGCCCATAAATCCATTTGATAATTCAGTCCACTTCTGTTTGATATGCTTATGGTGGGCAGCTTCCACATTCCATACAAAAAAAAATGGTATCATTTTGCTGTTTGTGACACTGGCTGGTGATTTGATCTTTAGGGACCACTTTAGCTGCTGTGATGGAATGAGGCAGGAAATATTTGGTTCAAATCTCTGGTGAGCCATGAATAGACGGGGCAACCTCTCTTTACTAACTTCTGGGTGGTTATAAGGATTGCTGAGTAATGAAGTACCATGGTACCTTGGTTGTCAAATGGCTTGGCTCCCAAACAAATTGGCTCTTGAATGCCGCAAACCCGGAAGTGAGTGTTCCGGTTTGTGAATGTTTTTTGGAAGCTGAACATCTGACGTGGCTTCCACGGCTTCCGATTGAGTGCAGGAAGCTCCTGCAGCCAATTGGAAGCTGTGCCTTGGTTTTCAAATGGTTCTGAGAGTTGAGAAGTGAGGTTACAGGGAACCAGGCAGAGGGCCTTCTCAGTAGTGGCGCCCGCCCTGTGGAACGTCCTCCCACCAGATGTCAAGGAGATAAACAACTACCTGACTTTTAGAAGGCATCTGAAGTCAGCCCTGTTTAGGGAAGTTTTTAAAGTGTTGTCATGTTTTAATACAGTGGTACCTCGAGTTAAGTATTTAATTCGTTCCAGAGGTCCGTTCTTAACCTGAAACTGTTCTTAACCTGAAGCACCACTTTAGCTAATGGGGCCTCTTGCTGCCGCCATGCCGCCGGAGCACGATTTCTGTTCTCATCCTGAAGCAAAGTTCTTAACCTGAAGCAGTGTTTCTGGGTTAGCAGAGTCTGTAACCTGAAGCATATGTAACCTGAAGCGCATGTAACCCGAGGTACCACTGTATTCTGTTGGGAGCCGCCCAGAGATTCTGGGGAAACCCAGCCTGATGGGCGGGGTACAAATTATTATTATTATTATTAAGCACACAGTGCCGAAGCTTCCTTTTCGGAACATAAAACTGTGAGATGAAAGTGTGGGTTGTTGTTTTCTAACATGCTACAGGGAAGAATGTGTGTTGGCAAGTCTTCCTTCCGAGCGGCCATACAGACAGGCTGCCTTCTCAGCTTGACCTTTTTGTGGGGCTTTAAAAAAAGGTAAAGGGACGCGGGTGGCGCTGTGGGTAAAAGCCTCAGCGCCTAGGGCTTGCCGATCGAAAGGTCGACGGTTCGAATCCCCGCGGCGGGGTGCGCTCCCGCTGCTCGGTCCCAGCGCCTGCCAACCTAGCAGTTCGAAAGCACCCTCGGGTGCAAGCAGATAAATAGGGACCGCTTACTGGCGAGAAGGTAAACGGCGTTTCCGTGTGCTGCGCTGGCTCGGCAGATGCAGCTTTGTCACGCTGGCCACGTGACTCGGAAGTGTCTCCGGACAGCGCTGGCCCCCGGCCTCTTGAGTGAGATGGGCGCACAACCCCAGAGTCTGTCAAGACTGGCCCGCATGGGCAGGGGTACCTTTACCTTAAAAAAAGGTAAAGGGACTCCTGACCATTAGGTCCAGTCGTGACTGACTCTGGGGTTGCAGTGCTCATCTCGCTTTATTGGCCGAGGGAGCCAGCATACAGCTTCCAGGTCATGTGGCCAGCATGACTAAGCCGCTTCTGGTGAACCAGAGCAGCGCACGGAAACGCCATTAGGGTTCCCCAAAATTGGAACATAAATAAGCCCATGGAAATGTATCCTCAGGCTGATGCAGATTCGTACCAATATGCTCATAAGGAGCCATAGCATGGCACAGGGATCAGCAAACTTTTTCAGCAGGGGGCCAGTCCACTGTCCATCAGACCTTGTGGGGAGCCGGACTATATTTTGAAGGGAAAATAATGAATGAATTCCTATGTCCCACAAATAACCCACAGATGCATTTTAAATAAAAGCACACATTCTACTCATGTAAAAACACCAGGCAGGCCCCACAAATAACCCAGAGATGCATTTTAAATAAAAGGGCACATTCTACTCATGTAAAAACATGCTGATTCCTGGACTGTCTGTGGGATTTAGAAGGCGATTGGGCCGGATCTGGCCCCCGGGCCTTAGTTTGCCTACCCATGGCATAATACAACAATCTACAAAAAAACCGCAAGAGCTAATGGAGGGGGAGCAAGGGTGCATGCACATTATGCAGTTGGAGCTGTGTTCCCTTCAGGTCTCGGATCAAGGTCCATAGAAGCTGCGGAGCTGAGAATAGTGGGGAGAGATCAAGGTGAGGTTGGGAATGAGAGGTTGCAGAGGGAAAGGTGTGGAGCACAGCAGCGTAGTGGGGAGAAACCATGGATAGTTGCTGGCATTTAAAAGACATGTTATAAGAACAACAGTCCATGGTGTCTAGAGAGCAGGTGTACTGGGTCTAATGTGGGTGCTTTGGGAGATGGTTTTTTTTCCCTTTCCTGATGGCTTTAATGAACCTAAGTGCAAAAATATGTTTATGGTGGCTGAAGCTTGGCTTTGCTGCTTTGCTTTTTTTTTTAAACTGTGTTTCTTTCCGAGATGTTATTCAATAACAAACGCTGTTAATGTGAAGGAAACACAGGGAGATATAAGTCCCTACCAGGAATGAGTCGCTCAGGCTTCGCCTGCAGCCCAATATCCATATCAAGTTGGCAGGTGAGAGCAACCTACTCGGACCCTGAGATCATCTTCTGAGGCCCTCATTCGAGAGGTCTGGAGGGTGGCAACATGAGAACCGGTCTTCTCTGCAGTGGCTCCCCATCTGTGGAATGCTCTCCCCAGGGACGTTCACCTGGCACCTTCATTATATGCCTTTAGGCGCCAGGCAAAAACGTTCCTTTTTAACTAGGCCTTTGGTTAAATACTATGGGAAACAGCCCTACTAGAAAAATTAACCAATAAACTGAAACTAACATGGGGACAAACAGAAGAAGACGCCTTTGCCCTGGTATGGCTCCCCTTTATCACAGCCCAACAAGACAATGACAATAATCCACCAACAGCATACAAATCAATAAGGCTAACCTGATCCAAAACACCCACCCACCCCACTCACACACAAAAACAAAGATCACCACAGCCAATCACAAACAACCACACCCTAGGCCAACCCCAACCTCTCTCACCACCAAAGAAGCACAAATGAACAGCACGAGCAACACTGACACCAAACCCTACATACATTAAGCAAAATAGAAACATCGCCACCCGACCCCACCCCACCCATCTTCCCCCCTCCACCCCTTCCCCCCACCAAACGTCTCAACAAATGAAACTGATTTGTAAAAATGTTACATGGAAAAAATCCGAGAGACATTACACATACTTCTGTAAAACAAGAAAATCTTTAATAAAAAAACACACACCCAAAACTAGGTCTTTGATTGACCTAATCAACATCCCCATACCCTTTTAAAATGTGGCTCTTTGGGGGGGGGGATATTATTGGGTTATTGCTTTTATTTTTATTTTATATACTGTGATCTTTTTTTGTGAACTGCCCTGAGACCTCCGGGTATAGGTCAGTATATAAATTCAAATAATATTAATATTAATAACAGCAACAACAACAACTTGCAGCTCCACATAGGAAAATGCAGTTGGGGCGCAATCCTATGCACACTCACTAGAGGTGCCATTGAGTTCAGTGGGGCGTGCATTCAAATCAGTCTGCACAGGATCACGGCCTCAACGGGGCAGTTGGCAAATTAGGAAGTGCTTCAGTTCATTTTTTAACATTGTAAATGGCGTTAGCTTGTGCCAGACCTCCTGGTCCAAAATGTGTTCACCTCCAAGCAGGCGAATCAAAAGCATGCGCAAACAGGGTCTTTCTGGATCGAATCCTGTGTGAACACGTGGGGAGAAGGGAAGGGAGGGAAGTTCACTGCATAAGTGGAAATACAGTCATACCTCGGGTTAAATATGCTTCAGGTTGAGCGTTTTCAGGTTGCGTTCCGTGGCGACCCAGAAGTAACGGAACAGGATACTTCCGGGTTTCACCACTCGAGCATGCGCAGACGCTCAAAATGATGTCACGTGCATGCGCAGAAGCAGCGAATCGCGACCTGCGCAGGCACGGGTTGTGTTCTGCTCAGGATGCGAACAGGGCTCCGGAACGGATCCCGTTTGCATCCAGAGGTACCACTGTACTTGTGTGGGTGGGACAAACCTTTATCTCCATTGCTAGTCCCCCAGGGGTAGCCTAACTACTGTTATTTAGGCTCTGGTAACCTCGAGGTTAGATTACTGCAACACGTTATACGTAGGGCTGCCTCTGAAGACGGTTCGGAAACCTCAGCTAGTGCAGAATTCAGCAGCCCGATTGCTCACCGAGGCAAGACAGTTTGAGCATATTACACTGATGGTTCGACTGCACTGGCTACCAGTTAGTTTCTGGGCCCGATTCAAAATGCTGGTTTTGTCCTATAAGGCTTTAAGGACCTCCTCTCTCCATATGAACCTACCTGGACCCTCAGATCATCTTCTGGGGTGCTCCTTCTTGCCCCTCCTCCAAAAGAGGTCCAGAGGGTGACATCATGAGAATGGGCCTTTTCTGCAGTGACTCCCTGTTTGTGGAATTCTCTCCCCAGGGAAGTCCACCTGGCGCCTTCATTATACACCTTTAGGAGCCAGGCGAAGATGTTCTTCTTTAACCAGGCCTTTGGCTGATTGACATCCGATGCCCTTTTAAAATGTGTTGGGGACGTGGAGATTACTGGGTTGTTTTAGTTTTGTGTTTTCGTATTGTGTTTTTATGTTGTCAACTTCCCTGAGACCTGCAGTATACTAATAATTGTAGGTGATGATAACAACAACAACAATATCTAGTTAATGTTAAAAGCACTAATAAATCAGTATTTATGACTTGCTGCGCACGTTTTTATTGAAGAATATCAATAACTATGGCAGTAAACACCACAAAACGTGACATTAGATTGCTGTTATGGTACCCTCACAGCACAAGTATTTATAATTAAGATGTTTAAGTAACCTCTGGCAGAATGCCGTCAGCACGTAGTGTCAACTTTAAATCCTGTTGTAACCAAAGATAGGGAAATAATTGCAACCTTTTTTTTTTTGTCTGTTTGTTTTTCAAGCACTTTTGTGCAATGGGAAGTTTCACAAGCACTTGCAGGAGATTTTTGTTCCCTTGGTCATCCGCTACATTGATCTCATGGAGTCCTCCATTGCCCAGTCCCTTCACAGAGGTCTTGAACAAGAATCATGGCAGCCTGTCAAGTAAGTGTTTCCGGAAGGCCCTATGCCAAATTTGGTCCCCATTTGGTTTGCAACTACTCCTCCAGCTTTCCTTTTTACAATCTATTTTTATTGTGCTCCTACGTTGTCTATCTCTCTGCAGGACCATCACCAACAGTCTTCCCAATGTAGCTCTTCCAAAAGTTCCAAGTTTGCCTCTTAATCTTCCACAGATACCTAGTTTTTCAACGCCAACCTGGATGGCTTCTTTATATGATTCCACGTGTGTATTCTTGACTGATCGTTAAACGTTGAGTGTGTGTGTGTCAGCTCTGCACGGCCTTACTGATGTCATGTACAGCTGTATTTGGACTGCATGGTGTTTTGTGATCATTTGGTTGGAAATTGCAGCTTTTTGGTTGAAAGCCAAGCATGGAATGTCATTGGGTTGTGCTTTTTGGTGTGTAAAATCTCAGTAGGCAGTAGCTTAAAATTAACTAGGCAAAGGTTTGTTGTGGTACATTTAGCAGTCATCACCCTTAATTACATAATTGCTGCTATTTAGTTAATAAGCAGTGTGGAAACACTTTAAATTATTGTACTTCAGTATGGTGGGGTTGTTCCTTTTTTTTTTTTTAATGTCAATAGCTCTTCGTGTTTTGGCATGTTATTACTAATCCACTGCATGTGCTAAAAGATTTTTGAAAATAGCAGCAACAGCAATTGGTTTGCGTTGTTTTTCTCTGGCTTTTCTGGATTCCCTCGTAATAGGACACTGCCAAAATTAATCGAGTTCAAATCTCACTTAATTAGCTAGTGGCTGTCGGAGATTACGTCCCTGTTGTTGTTTTTTAAAAGAGATTCAGAAGAGCTTTTGTAGTTTAAATGAAGAACATCTCAATTAAGCATTACAGTGGTACCTCGGGTTAAGTACTTAATTCGTTCCAGAGGTCTGTTCCTAACCTGAAACTGTTCTTAACCTGAAGCACCACTTTAGCTAATGGGGCTTCCCACTGCCCCCGCACTGCCGGAACACGATTTCTGTTCTCATCCTGAAGCAAAGTTCTTAACCCGAGGTACTATTTCTGGGTTAGCGGAGTCTGTAACCTGAAGCGTATGTAACCTGAAGCGTATGTAACATGACGTACCACTGTATAGCAGAGAGATGATTTTTTTTGGGGGGTGGAGGAGGTGGAAGGCTTTCCATGACATACATTCAGCAAACAAGTGGTTATTTTTAGGAAAGCTTGGAGGAAAAGGTTTTTACACCAGTATGATCCATCTTTCATACCTAGTACTAAATCAAAGTTTATTACACATTTACAAGCAATGGCCCATTTCTGGTTCCATTACTCTTTGCTGCCTTGCCTCTACAGTGGTACCTCGGGTTACATACGCTTCAGGTTACAGACTCCGCTAACCCAGAAATAGTACCTCGGGTTAAGAACTTTGCTTCAGGATGAGAACAGAAATCGTGCTCCAGTGGCGCGGTGGCAGTGGGAGGCCCCATTAGCTAAAGTGGTGCTTCAGGTTAAGAACAATTTCAGGTTAAGAACAGACCTCCGGAACTAATCAAGTACTTAACCCGAGGCACCACTGTATTATTATCTCTATTTCGATGTTCAGAGGTGATTAGTCTGTTTAGGGAAGTTTTTTATGTTTAATGCTGTATTGTGTTTTTAATATTCGATGGGGAGCCGTCCAGAGTGGCTGGGGAAACTCAGCCAGATGAGCGGGGTATAAATAATAAATGTTTAACCAAAATAGCACTAAACAGGAGTGCTCCACACCGAAGCTGTCCAGATGGATTCTAGAATGCAAGTGGTGAGAGACTTTTCTTGAGGAATACTGGGCGCTCTGTAGAGTGCATGATCATCTACAGGTAGATTTTCCATTGAGGCTTTTTGGGTGTGCTTCTGTGCCAGTCGATTCTTAGAACCACCAGTAGTTCACTGTGACCACTTTGCCCCTATGCCCTTCTGTGTGCCAGTGCTCAAACAGTGCCTGGGGCATCCAGGGCACTGTGGAGACCTATTTCATGAGATCAGTTTAAGTTTTTGAGGCCTATCATCAGGAGCCGGAGTCAAGAGTAGGTCAGCAATAAAAAATAAACACAGTGTCCATGTGGTTAACTTTGAAAAAACGAAAACATTGCTGGCCTAGTGATCCCAGCAGCCCTTCCCAATGAAGCAGTTGCCCCAATGAAGCAGTTGTGAGGTCTGGAGGTCCCTGCCTTCCCCCAGCTACCTCAGTCCCCTCCTCGCCAGGGGAGCGTGTCTGTGCACAACAAATCTCTCATCTGGCATTTTCAGTTCTCTACATGTTCTAGGAGACCAAGGGGTAGTTTGTTCCAACTATACTTCCCAGTTGCTAATACCCCCTTTGGAGGGCAATTTGCTTAAGAGGGTGGTGGTGCAGGTACTCTTGGAGGAAACTGAATATCAAGACCCATTTCATTCTGGGTTTAGATGTGGTTTTGGAATAGAACCAGCCTTAGTCACCCTGAGGGAGGACCTTCTCCAGAAGAGGGACAGGGGAAGTGTCTGTTGGAACCGGGGGATGAAAAGCTAATCCCCAGAACTGCAGATATTAGGCATGCATGCAATTTTACATTTTCCAAATAATCTTCTTTTCCATTGCTTAAAAATAAATTAAAATGAGTACCGCCCACCCAACCTCATTTACCGTATTTTCCCATCTATAAGATGCCCCCATTTACCGTATTTTCCCATCTATAAGATGCCCCCATGTATAAGACACACACACACACAGAGACCATTTTGGGGGACTCAGTTTTAAGAAAATGAGGAGAGATGGCCCAAAGTTGTTGAGCCTCTCTCCCCATGCAGCTGTGGGCAGGAAACACTCCCTAGATCGTTTCCCGCGTGCGGCGACACCGGAGGAGCTTGCGCTCCTGCCAATTGGATGGCTGGTGGGAGCACAACCTCCCCCGGTATCGCCACACGCGGGAAACAACTCAGGGAGTGCCTGCCATGCGCAGCAGCATGTGGGAAGTTGCGCTCCGGCCAACGAGCTGGCTGGCAGCGCGCAGCTTCTCCCCGCGCAGCTGTGGGCAGGAAACACCCCCCAGATTGCTCGCTGCTCGCTACAGCATTGGGGGAAGTCGCGCTCCCGCCAACTAACTGGCTGGCACCACGCCGCTTCTCCCCCCCCCCATGCCACTATCCATGTATTGGACAACCCCAGCTTCTTTTTCCTTTCTTTTATTATTTATACCCTGCCCATCTGGCTGGGTTTCCCCAGCCACTCTGGGCGGCTTCCAACTGAATGTTAAAAACAATACAGCGTCAGACATTAAAACTTCCCTAAACAGGGCCGCCTTCAGTTGTCTTTTAAAAGTAACATAGTTGTTTATTGCCTTGACATCTGATGGGAGGGTGTTCCACAGGGAGGGCGCCACTACCAAGAAGGCCCTCTGCCTGGTTCCCTGTAACTTTGCTTCTCTCAGGGAGGGAACCGCCAGAAGGCCCTCAGTGTCCGGGCAGAATGATGGGGGTGGAGACGCTCCTTCAGGTATACAGGACCCAGGCCGTTTAGGGCTTTAAAGGTCAGCACCAACACTTTGAATTGTGCTCAGAAACGGACATGACTTCTGAGTCAAAAAACCTCGTCCAATACACGGGAAAATATGGTATCTAAAAAGCCTGGGTGTCATCTGGAATTGGGATCCTTTGGGCAAGGTGCTTTCAGCACCTCCCCCCAAGCTGCTATTAGCAGTGCCCATTCTCTTGCCTCTCCCTCTGGGCCCAGGCTGTACCACCTCCCAGAGAGTGGAGGCAAGACGTGCAGATGCTGTAAAGGCTTCTCTTTGTGCTTCTCACTGCTAGGACGCTTGCTTGCTTGCTTGTTCAAGGAGCTCAGGTGAATTGTCAGCAACAGCAAAGAGAAGGAGCAGAGCCAAGAGACTCCAGGGATTAGCAACAGGCCTCTACCGGGACGTGGGCTCCAGCAAAGTGCCTGACAATGCTAACGCTTGACACTGGTGCTGGGATTATGCAGAGAGCGTTGTCACTCATTGACAGGGAGCTAAGTCAAAGGATGGGCAACTGTGCCTTATCGAGACGAAGACAAACTGTGGCTTGTCTGTGAAGCTCAAAAATATGAACGACAGAAACTTCCTCACACGGAGGAGTCAGAACATTGGTCTGTCATCTCTGGCTAGTAAAAGCTTTTTCTTAGACCTGTTCCCACTCATCCCTGATCCAGAGTTGCCAGGGATCTTTGGCAGGCAACAAGTGTGTTTTACCACTGGGCTCTAATAATAAAATGGATTCTTTAAAAAGATCTTGGAGAATTGAAAAGTTACTGCTTGCTCAGAATATCAGCTGATCTCTGTTGGTCTTTGGGTTTACTGCTTATATTTTTTAAACCTTACAGAGTCTTCCTTTTCTAAAAATTAAATTGCGAACCTTTTATAGAAGTATAGATTGCTCGACGCAATTTACTGTACATTTTAGGTTACAGTCATTCATACACATTCACACACATAGGGGTGCCAACTTGAATAAAATATTGGGGGACAGGTAAGCCCCACCCTACATAATTGATCACATGACATGGTGCACACACACCATATTAATGGTAATGTCTACCAACTTTTTGGAGGGGCCTCAGATATTTTATTTGGGGTAAAGGGCCCTTGGCCCCTAGGAGTTTGCTCCTATGTATACACACATACTGCATATAAATTAAAAAATTAAAAAAATTGTCCAGTAGCACCTTAGAGACCTATAAGTTTGTTTTGGGTATAAGCTTTCATGTGCATGCACACTTCTTCAGATACCACACGAAAGCTTATACCCAGAGCAAACTTAGTTGGTCTCTAAGGTGCTACTGGACGATTTTTGGATTTTTTAAATTTATTTTGACTGCGTCAGACCAACAAAGCTACCTACCTGAATCTAGAAAACACACACACACACACACACACACACATACATATATATACACATATACACCTAGGAGTAAGTCCCATTAAACTCAAAGGGAATTCCCTGTTCAGGGAAGCTTTTAATGTGTGACATTTTGATGTATTTATAATCTTTGTTGGAGGCCACCCAGAGTGGCTGGGGAAAGCCAGCCAGATGGGTGGGGTACAAATAATAAGATATTATTATTATTATTATTATTATTATTATTATTATTATTACTACTACTTCTGAGTAGACATGCATAGGGCTGCACTATTCATCTAGCTGTACTCAGCTATGGTGAACTAAATATAGTTTGCCAAATATACTTATACCTATTAAAAGTGGTATCTCTGATTCCTCTAGAATCAAATTTTATGTGTTTTATTTAATGTGCTTTATTTGTAATAGTAGTATGGGTTGTTTGCATATGGTATAGCTTGTCTGCTGGCCTTTCCATTCACATAAAATGGATTACCCCCCCCCCCTTTGTATAGTTAGAAACAGGGAGTGTGTGTTCTTATCTATCATTGCACAGCCCCAAGAACATAATTACTTTGTTTTCGCTTGTTTTCGCTGGTCCGTCTCTTTAATGGCACATTTGGGGCATTGTGGATTAAGGTGGAGGAGGTATTAAGAGAGCAAAATGCTTTGCGTAGCATTCACTCTTCTGCTTGATTGGTCCCTCGAGAGGCCAACACAGAGGACCGCTTGGCTAGACATGAAAAGCACACTGAATTATGCTTGGCTGTGAGGCTTGTTTTTGAATTTTCAGGAACGTGAGCGGGTCCTGTAAGGGCTAGCTAACATTCCTACAGGATACATGTGAGAGGAAAACTCAACAGGTCACCACTTGGGAGTGTGAGCTAAAACTGCGGTGTCCACAGTGTGGTAGGAGCAGCACCCTTGTTCATAAGCAGAAGAAAGACGAATATTCCTACAGCCAGGGAGAGAAGCGTAATTCTCTCCTTAGTTATACACAGTTGTGATTTATCTTATTTCTTTATTAAAGTGAACTGCCCTACACCAATTATTTCAAAGAAATGCCAGGACAATGAAACAAGCAGGACAGCAATAAAAGCTGTATCAGTAAAACAACTGTAAAGTTTCTGCGTCATTTATGCAGTAGCCAGAGATACTAGGAGTTAGTCGGGAGAAGCTTGGGTGAAGAAATACATTTTCAGCCAGCAGAAACATGCAGCTGTTGATGCCCACCTGATCTCCAAGTGGAGATCATCTCATAAAATAGGTACCACCACAGAGCAAGCCCTTCTCTTCACCACTGTTGAGTACAGTAGTTGAGATCCTTCACAGATCGCAGTGACATTGATGTTGCAGTACTTTGAAATGCAAACAGTTTCATTCTGTGCCAGGGGAGTAAGAATAGTGTATCCACCCTTGCTTTTATATAAAGCAGTTGCCAAAAGATTAAAATCTTTTTGAAAAGTGGCAATTTATCATACGTTTGAATTACAAGAACTTTGTGCCAAAGGGAGAGACAAGTCCTAGTGCAGATATTGCGTCGTGATCAGCGCAGATAAATTATGCACCGTTTCCATAGACTATTGTAGCATTGTCAGTGTCAAAGCCTCTTATCCCTGGGAAAATTTGATTCACGCAACCAAACATATCCAGTGACAAAATTGCTGCATCGCTAGGAACACATTGTTTCTTTGTGTTGCTGCAGCTTTCCTTCCTGTGTCCATCGTCTCCCCCCCCCAAAAAAAAAATCCTTCTGTGAATATTGTTGCGCAAATTCCCAGATGAAAGAACAAATAAAGTTATTGTGACTTTGTGTCATAAAAAGCATAAGAGGCATTGATTACTGGGTGTTTTTGATATTTCGTGAACCAGCGGCTATTGTAGCTTTTACTGTAATTGGTGAAAGCCAGTTTAAATGGCTAACAGGAATTGGGTCTGCATAGGATTATTTTAACAGCATTTGAGAGAAAATAATTTCTTCATTTTTTTTATTAGGCCTGTTAGGAAACTGATACATAATTTTTAAAAAATACTGGACATCACACAATAAAAATTGGTTGGCTTAATTCTGCTTTTACAGATGGAGCTACATTTGATCATCACAGAGCACAGACAAACATTAAGCTGACTTTTTTGGCTTATTCAACCTTTATCCTTCCATAAATTTGGTTGCCTTATCTTAGAGTGTGGGTGTAACAGACATTATACCATGCAAGACTTATCACAAGTGTCAGATTTTTCCTTGCAGACATTTTTGAATCTGGTATGACCCTCAAAGCTTGCATAGCCTCTTCTTTGCCCAGAAGCAGACACCCCAGGCAGAACATAATGTACAACCTGCACAATTTTGGGGTTCATCCAGGGGCCTCCTTGAACCTGAATCCATCCCAGATACAGGTGCAGTTCTTTGGGTCTTTTCATGTTAGTTCTCTAAAGTCCAGATGCAAATGTGAATAGTGAACTGATACTGACACCACCTTGACTGCAGGTTGCAAAGGGCAGGGAGGTGCCCATGGTCAATGTGCTGGCAGAAACTGCCCTTCCTGCCACCATTGCTGCCATTCCCTTCTCAAGACGTAGGGAAGCCAGAAACATTGCCATCACTCTCATCTGGCTTCTTGACTATGTCAGTCAGACTTGCTTCCATGATGAGTTTCGCCCTGGAGAAACTGCTGAAGAACTTTTCCTCTTCCTAGAAAAAGGTTCAGTTAAATGGTTTCCCGTTTTCTGCTCACAGATAGGGCACAGAATTAGGAGGGGCGGTGTAAACACGTACACATTTTTTGGCAAAGGGTGTTTAAGGAGGTAACAGAAATCACTGGGTTAAAGCTGGCCAAAAGTCCAGAGGTAGCATTATTATCAATTTACAATGGGGTGGAAGGTTCACAGGCTTGCTCACAAATTTATTGACAGCTGCACAAATTATTACAGCCAGGAAGTGGAAAGGGCAAGCAGAATATAAAATGGAAGAATGGTATAAAGAGGTGTGGGATATAGCTCTTAATGATAAATTAACATGTGTCATTAAGGTAAGACGGGGAATAGGCAGGTTAAATGATTTTGAGGAGATATGGAGGGTGTTTGTAGAATTTGTACTGTTAAAATGGAAAGGGGTCAAACCATCGCAAGAGGTGTTGAAATTTGGGGGGGGGGTTGGATAGTTACAATGAAATTATCTTGGTGGTGGGGTGCACATTTTTATCCTTATTTATTTACGATTATTACTTTGTCAAAATAATAAATAACAATAATAAAAGAATTTGGAGAGGCAATATGTACATGGGTCTAAGTTGTGTAGCAACAAAGCAGCCAAACCACAGAAAGTACATTAAGTTATAATAATGGGTAGGAGAGCTGGGGGGAAGGAATCACATCTTGCAACCAATGCACCCCTTTGGTTTTTAGATAGTACATGGGTAGACGAGTCTAAAAATTCCTGGGACACAAATTTTCAGGGCCCTTTAGTGGCTATGGTGATTCATTTACCAGAAGTTATGTATTCAGCATTAACTCTAAAAGTACAGTGGTACCTCGGGTTACAGACTCTTCAGGTTACAGACTCCCCTAACCCAGAAATAGTACCTCAGGTTAAGAACTTTGCTTCAGGATGAGAAGAGAAATCACGGGGCGGCGGTGGGAGGCCCCATTAGCTAAAGTGGTACCTCAGGTTAAGAACAGTTTCAGATTAAGAATGGACCTCCAGAACGAATTGAGTTCTTAACCTGAGGTACCACTGTATAAACATAAGCCTCCTGGTATATACTGGCTATGGGGCTTGGCAAATCTTTTTAAATTATTGAATTAATGTCACCTGTAAATTTTTGGGTTCTGTCTCCAACCCCCAAAGATGAACAGAACTGAACTTTGATACTTTGAAACCCAAGGGGTGCATTGATTGCCAGATGCGAAATACATTGGCATTGTTTTCGGCTCTCCTACGCCATTACAAGATGGCGCCCTCCTGCCAAGCTGTTGCTTGGCAAGACACCGTTTCTAGCCATTGCTACCAAGGCACTATTTGTGGCACATCAGATAAAACTGTTGGAATACTGGACGGTCCAATAGGCATAACAAAATGATAATTTGCCAGAGCTGCTTTTATGTTCTTGTAAAAAAACACCCAGTTCCAGTGCTTAAAAGAGGGGAGGGCTCTGTTTTCACTAGCGCTGTAATTCAAACAATGCCTTGAATGATTTTTTGTTGTAGCAACGGGTCAGCAACGTCGGAAGATCTCTTCTGGAAACTTGACGCACTGCAGATGTTCGTCTTTGACCTTCATTGGCCAGAGCCGGAATTTGCCCACCACTTAGAACAGAGGCTGAAACTCATGGCCAGCGATATGATAGAAGCATGCGTCAAAAGGTACGTGGGCAATTTCAGAAATTGTCGTACAAATGCTACCATTTCTGGGACTCCTGGGGATGTTTGAGTTGAGCAGCCTTGTGTGAAAGTGGCAGGATTAATCCAGCAGCATGGCATTGGTTGTTGGTTGCCTGGGTGTCAGGCTTTGGGGAATCTGATCCCTCTTCCGGTGGCAGTAAATAAGCGATCAAACGAAAGGAGTGTTCTTACCAATTAGTTACCAATTCTTACCAATTAGTTTCTAATCACAGCGAGAGACAAAGGAATGTGTATCCCTCTAGAAATGGCGTTGCTCCCAGTAAAGGTTCACCTCCTCCGTCCCCATTAATCTACATTGGGTAATCTGAGCTTGTTGCCACTGCGCTTTCTGTTCTATCGCTTTCAAAGCCTGTCTAGTCTTAGGTGAAAGGGAGTCAGGAATACTGTCCAAGGACACTGAATCTGCCAGCTGGTGTTTCCTCTTCTAGCTGTTCCTCCCCCAGTATTTCCCAGCTTTTCCCCTCTGGACTATGCCCCTCTGCAAACCACTGTTCTAAATCTATACTGTCCTCCTGCTCTTGGGAAGGTTCAGGACAGTGGTGGGCGGCTCCCACTATTCCTCCTCAGTCACTGGGGTGGGTGCAGACGTGTATGCCAGGAGAGGGGCACTATAAAAAACTATAAAAAAAACTGTCACACTTACTGGAACTCTTAACAGCATATCTTTTTATTTTTAAAAATTGTCAGAAGTAGCTGAATATGTTACATGACAGTCTATATTCTGTTTTTGCTAGTTTGAAAATTGTGTGGAAAGCTTATCTGTCAGAAAGCATTTGCTGCAATATGTGTTTTATCTGTGTTATGTTTTGTCATGCTGTTATTCAGTCAAAGCAGTATCTAACCTTGAGGGGGCTGTCAGAGCACCTTGCTGGAAAGTTTTAATAAGATATGTGAAAATGATAATTCCATTGTTTTACGTGCAGGTGCCTAAACATTTCTACTTTGGTTTTTCCATATTTGAAATTAATTTTATGTTAGTACATTTAACCTGGGTTTGTTTTTGCACTTCATTTATTTAGAATTTTGACAGTCCTTTCTGTTGCGATCCCCGCATTTTAATTAATAGAACAAGAATTGCCTTTGAACTCAAACTGCAAAAGACAAATAAATCTACGGACTTGCGCATTCCCTCTCCTGTGTGCACAATGTTCAACGTGCTGGTTGATGCCAAGAAACAGACTGCTAAATTATGTGTCCTGGATGGCGGGCAGGAGGTAAGCGAGCATCTTGAAATGTCTGTTTCACAAGATCAGGAAGAACACGGGCGGCTTTTGCCAGATTTCAGCTCCAGGGTGGCTATTACAGGTTTTGAGGAGGAAGAGCAGGGAGGCAAAACATAGTCAAAAAAGAATGATGTAAGAAGCCACTGGAGCAATTTCTCCTTGCTCGTCCCTTGTCCTACCAGCCTCCTACTATTGCTCTTCTATGCCTTGCATTGTTAGTTGCGTGTCGAGGTCCCCAGGGCCACCCCAATAACTCACACATCACACAGAATTTTTTCTTTAAGATTTTTGGCATAATTTTGGCCACAACTTTATTAAAATACAAATTTGTGAGTGGTTGCTTAGGCATTGGTTGCGACTATCTGCCCCCACCGTGGGGGACAGACTGACATTCCGCACGCCTGCGAAAGTCAGAAAAGGGGAATACACTTGGGGCTAGCAACGGAGCAGGGAACCTGCCCTCAGCCCTCCCCAAATGCAGCCAGGAGCTCTTGCAGTGGCCCGAGCCCCCTTGACAGGGTGGACAAGCAATAGTTAGCCCCCAATTCCTTTAATGGAATCCCTTGCAGCAGCAGCATTAGAGGGGCAGGCACAGCCAATCCATGCCCCTCAACCAACCAAACCATAAACCAATGCCTAACCGCAACCTTACAAGTTGTGACAATTTGCTACGCAGTAGGCAAAAACCAAATGGCCCCAGCCAATCAGCCAGATGGACAAAATTCCTACCGGGCCCCTGCCCCAAGAGCAGACGACCCCATGACAGGCATAGCAAGGTCAAAGCGAACAACCCTAATTCTAGGGAGGGGGGAGCGGCAATCCAATGCACGGGCGAAAAGAGGAATGTTAAACTACATTAACTGCAGTGCGTGATTTTAGAATGTGCCTGCATTTTGGTGATGGTTTTCTTAATATTTGCTGTCAAAGTAGGGAAGGGTTGAAGAAGAGGTCCACAAATACAGTCATTAGCGGTGACCATGCAAAATGATGATGATGATGACCAGAAATTTAACTTTAACCACACACAAAAAAAGAAAACATTTCCAGGACCTTCTGTTATAGGGGTGACTCTACTGACAACATATGGAGGCAGAGAGTGCCTCTTTCAAAATGGCCAGACTGCAACAGCTTCAGTGTTGTGGATTGGAGGGGAGGGGTTTTCGTGAACACAGAAAGACCCACCTGCCTTTCTCCCTGTCACCTCCCATCCCAGGCAGTCGGTACAAAAGCAAAGACTCTCCATGGCTTCTGTGAAGCAGGAAGTGGCAAAGCCAAACTTTATGGTTCCTAGACCCATTGGCTGGGCCAACAAGGCTAGCCCAAATGGACCCCTAAATTGAAAGGTCATCACACATTACTGCAGTGCTTTGCTTCGCAGTACAAATGTCAACCATATTTATGTGCATTCGTTGTTTTATAGCATTACAATATTTTTATATTCTGTGTTGATCCATATCATTTCATTAAGTCTATTTATTTCTCATACTATTTTGTAATGATTATTTTCCCCATTTTTCCCCACTCTCTGGTTTTGGGGGCTTTCTGTCACATGGCCCAGTTTGCTAATCAGTGGGTAAGTTGATTTTGTTTTAGAATTTCTTTCTGTCTTCAAAAGTGTTTACGTGTCCATTGCTTGTTGTGAACAGTGTGGCGAGAGTGGTAATAGCATTGGTCCAAAATGTAGGTCCCCAGGCAAGAGAGTCTGTATGTGTTCCATATTTGCCAGATATATCTTCAAGATTCAAGAAAGGAGATTCTGACTAAATATTAGGAAGAACTTCTGGCAGACAGTGGAAGGGTCTCTCTTGGCAGGTTGTGGACTCTCCTTCCTTGGAGGTTTTTAAGCAGAGGTTGGATGGCCATCTGTTGTGGAAGCTTCAGCTGAGATTCCTGTATTGCAGGAGGTTGGACCAGGCAGCCCTTCTAACTCTACAATACTATGATTCTTTGATTCTACATAGAAATAAGAATGGCAGGTCCTTCAATAGTTGTGTGCGAGAGGGTATTTGGCAGCTTATGGTGCAAGAATGGAGAAAGCCCATTTCCACACAAATGTTGAAGGATGGCAGCCCTGTCTTCTTATGTCACCCAAATACAATGGAACCAGATATGACCAGCAGGCCAGATCCTTTATTCCGCCACCTGCTGCAGGCCAACTTTGGCAAGTAACAGGGCCGCCCACTTGTCAGAGATCAAGCATCAGTTTACTGGTTGGAGGTTAGCAAGCCCCTTTGATTTAAATGGCACCTGTGAACAGACAGAGCAGGGCTCGCAAACAGTGCTTACCTCCTTCAGCTGAACTTGGGAGGTCTTGATGATGGGGGACTCCTTAGTGTAGCTGATCCCAGTGGGGCTTGCTGAAGATCAAGAGAAGGTCTTTCCTGCCCTCCCACCCCTAATCTCAGAGTGAGGGTAGCGTGTGGATGTGCTTGTGGGTGCCGTAGGTATGGGGAGTGAGTCAGTATGTGTGTGCATGCACAGGTGTGTGTTGGCCACACCCACCTCTGGCATGCGCCCCATTGAGGCATGGCCAACTTTCAGTGTGGGCCCGAGTTGAGGAAGGTTAGCCACTCTTGCCCTAGATCAAATCCATAATGGTTGTAAAAAGAGCCAAAGGAAGCTTCAACTCATTTTCATATGTTGAGATTTTGGAAATGGTTATGTTTGAAGAAGTCAAAACATCATTTCCCCCTTAGAACTTGAGGCTTGGCACCAAAGACGTATGTGTGCATTGATGCATGCACAAACCAAAAGCTAGTGCAAAAGAAAAAGTGAAAAGAGTTGCCATGCATATCCATCCATCCATTCATCCATCCATTCATTTAACAGGCTTTATGTACCACTTGCTCATCAAAAACTCTTAAACAGTCTACATAAAATATAAAAAAATACATTTTAAAATACCAGTGGGAAAATGAGCATTTAAAATCCCAAATAGTTTAATATCTCAATTTCTACAGGCAAAGGTGTTTCACCTATTCAACGCCTTACTGAAATTGTGTGGCACAAAAGCATGCCCATTTTTGGAGGTGTTTCCATATTATTATTATTATTATTATTATTACAGAAAGCAAAAGCCATACTTATTTAAAACATTGGTACCATCCCAATGTTCGTAATCACAGTTTTAAAATATAGCAAAAGAAAACAGAGGAAATAACCCCAAGCTCGTCTCAACCATTCCTTGCGCTTAAGGTGGTTCAAGGAAAGCCCACCAATCCCTTCTCCTTTGCTTCCTTCAAGCAAAAGCCCACCAGTACTGTTCCTTTTTTTGGCGACTTGTTACTGACTCCTAAGGCCTTTCTCCCCCACGCTTGATCTCATTCAGCATCACATAACTGAGCTTCCTGCCACCGTACATATGAGCGTTGGGCATCTTTTGTCAATTCCCTCTCATACCTAAACTTGGTTCATCAAAGCTCTCTTTTAATTCCTTTATAATCAAAGGAGACCCAAACACCCAGAGAGTCTTCAAAAAACACATCAGGTAGTGGCATTCCTTAACTCACCTGCAAATGGGCTAAGCATTGGGGCTAAGCCTTTAACATGCAAAATAATCCCTGGAGAAGATACACGATTGTGAGCACTAGGTATCGGCGCTAAATTATGATCCCCCAAAATAGCCTCGTTCAATCATTTTTCTTCTTAAGTCAGTTTCCTGAAGCTCAAGAAATTCTCATGCTCGCAAACTGAATCGCAAGCTCTTTTCTTCCTCGCATGTGATTCTCTCTGGCTGCAGAAGACTAATTTACTGTGATTACAAGCCTGCTCACGGTTACCCCGATGGCTGTGCCTTTGATTTCCGTGGGACTTGAGAATGGGCAACTGTGGACTACATTACAGTCTCTTTGATAAAAGCGGCAATTGGCACTTCCCGACATTACATGTGTATCTGCATCCATTTACTTGTATACAAAATGTTTGCTTCATTAATCTGAGCACAGTGGGCAGTTGCTTGACAAAAGGGCAGCTCTCCTGGGATTTATTAAGTACATCTGTGTGGAAACTTTGGGAGGGGGGAGGGAAAGGAGGCAAATAGCCTTCAAAAAGCTAAATTTTAGAAAACTATTCAATGGGCTCCTGCCAAGTTAGCCTAATGTTTATATTGATTTTGGTGCTTTTACTCTGAGCATTATGCTCTTGCTGTTTCAGGTAGCCTTGAACTATCAAGATAGGGTTAGTCTTTACAAGTCATATTTTTTTGTGAAGTGGTTGGCGGGGCATTCTTCTCCCTGGAACAAATGTTCTGAAAGGAGAATTACTTCTTCCTTTTTTTAATGGATGTACTTTGAGAATAGAAAAGGAGCCTTTTCTCCTGCTAACTGCAGGATGGAAGTCTGCTCTATTTATCGCCGAAACAGGGTACGAAAGTCTTTCAGGTTTAATTTAAAGTGGGCTTCTTTAAAGAGACGGCATTTTCATTAGTGGAAGAAAAGGCAGAAGCAAGAAGATGGAGAATAACAGCTGATTTTGTTGTTATGCCTTTTGTGGCCTGGTAATTTATTACCATCCCTTCAGGTTTCCTGATGGAATTTTATTTTTTGCCCATGTTTGAACAGATTATGCAGGAGTTGTATAAACTGCAGTTCACTTCATGGATGAAAGGGCTCTTTTTTAATATTTAACAATTGGCCTCTCATTTTATTTCTAGAGGCCATAACTTATGAATGAGAATGGTTAGATATAAAGTGCTTTATTTGGGGGGGAGGGAATCATCTAGCTTCCTCAGCTAAACCAAACCTTTGAGCTGAGGAAGAGGGAAGACCCACAAACACCTTAATTACAGAGAGACAAAAAAGTATCTTTCACATTCCTTTGCCTGAATACGAATAAGACCTCAGTGCGTCTAAATAATAACCCTATTAGCTGCTTAACTCAACAGCGTACATGGGAAATTTTTCAACACAGTGTGTAAGAAAGTACTGACAGAGTGGATCATTTTCAAGGTTTTGTTCATTGGGGGTTCAAAATGTAATTTTTTAGCAAATCTGATCTGTCAAATTTAGACTCTCTGTTCTATGTATGACTTATGGCAAAAGTGTTGTGTTCATATAACACACTAATGCTGCTTTTGTCTCCTAAAACGCAGCAACAATACCATTCAAAAATAGATGACTTGATTGAAGAAACGGTGAAGGAAGTAATTTCACTTCTTGTTTCAAAGGTAAATGTATTCACACTTCGTAGCTGAAAAGCACTGTGTCTTTTTTTCTACAGTGCCTGCTTTCTACAATAAGGAGATGTTTGGTATTTTTCCTGTTGCATTTTTCGAGGAAAATAGGCTTGGTGACTAACACCAGGTCAGTTCATCACGATGTTTACAGATTTAAATTAGATCCCTATTTGATCAAGGATTCCTATGCAGCGTCTATTAATCGGGTATATTTCTTTTGTGCTTCATACTACAGTACCTTCATTAATTGCTGGCATCGACCATGACCACATTTGTACTATATTAAGATTAGCTTTAATTAGGTGCATCGTTGTTTTCTTGCTTGTTTCATGATGCACGTGAAGCAAGTGTGTTCTCCAGATTTTTTCAAAGGCTTTTAAAGCCCATTTTAATTTTGACATTGATCTTACATAGAAAGACCCTGAAAGGCTTTTTGTTTAACTCTTCTTTTTAGCCGCCCTTATTTTCAATGTTGCTCCTTCGCATTTCTCCTTCTATAAAGGGAAATCTTGAAATAATTACCTTGGTCTGAGAATGTTTCAAATAAAGTAACATAAAACTTTACAGAGAAGAAAATGCACTTTCATGAACAGGGTGGGTTGTGAGGTACAGTACCAGTGGGAATGGCAGGATTATCAGCCTCAGCTTGGCCCAAGGAGTAATAAACAGTGGTACAATTGCACCTGGTTTTCCCCAGTTTGACTCTAGTATCTCTCCATAGTCTAGTAACACTATGGATGTGGAGGGATTCCAACATTTGAAGCTACAAGCTCCAAACTGGAGATTCTTACATATAAAAAAAGTGCTATTCACAAGTAATTTCATGGACAAAGGCAGGGGGTCCCAAACTGTGGTCCACAAGCTTCGTTTAAATGGTCCATTGTTGTGCCCAATAAGTCACAGAGGCCTCTAGACACTAACATGGGCAGATAGCATCAAAATTAACCCTAGATTTTAGTCAAATTTGGATTTTGAATATTATATTGACCACATCGTGATTCCAAATATTTGTCACATAGGCGCTCAGAATGGTTTGTGTGGAGTTATCTTACTTTTTCTTCACATCTGATCAGGCTAAAACACGGACTTGCCCAAGGCAATTAATTGGCTCCCTGCTTTGTGTTCACCAAATATCCCAAAATGTTTGGACATGCCTTCTCATCATGCCTTAAGTTTTTAGCGGCTACAACCCCAGTTTACCTGTGGCAAAATGCAGGTTGATCCTGCAGTTATCGGAACCTGTATTTTCCAGGTCTAGCTCTAAAACTGACCACCTTCCAGCAGTGGGGTCATTGGAGAACCATATTAACTATAATTTGGCACCCTGATTGAGATGACTACAGCGAATTGAGCAGATAAGCTGCTTTGATGGGATTCAGCGGTGTATAAATTTTATGAAATAAAACTAATAAACTTAAATAGAAGCTATTCAGTGTTGCGGTAATAGGAAGGCAGAGAACGGGTGTCATCAATTGAAGTGGGGCCCTTCCTTATATTCGAAACACAGCGGAGATCACTTCTTGGTATAATGAGACATGTCTAGATGATGATGTAAGACTAATGGTCTTACAAATAGATATGCTGGAAATAGAACAGGTTAAAGATCGGACGAGTGCAGTTTACTACCGTAACTCCTTCAAGCCATTAGGAGCCTGGGTGAGCGTCTCAGATCCTTACAAGGAATAAGGAATGTGACACTGTTGTGACACTGTTAGAGTGGCCATTAACAGCATGCCAGGGGGAATTTTGTCCTGTCCTCTCACTCACAAAGTGCTGCTCCGATGTTCTAGGAATGAGAGTCATCTGGACGGCAAGCAATTGCTCTTTAAAACATTTGATAGGTTTGTCATAAGGCCTATTCGCCTGGAAGTACAAGTTGCAGTAATGTGACAGCTAATACAGCTATAGCATATATCGGTGTGCATAGTTTTGTTTTATTTTTAAATTAATCTCTGGTCTCGTTTAAGGTGATAGGGTTCTCATTCTGCCTCATGCTTCTTGTGATGTGACTTCCAAAGTACGAATGATTAGGAATTGGAGTTCTTAGTTTTTTAGGTTGTCATTAATGGCCAACGGAAGTGGCTTTTCAGCTCCCTGGCTGGTGTTTGAGTAACGCCAAGAAAGAAATGACACAATACGCTTATTTCTGGGAAGCTTTCTTGTGATTCATAACAGAGGGCCAAACTTGGCCTCACACATAAGCAGCCTCCCAACCTCCTTGATTTTTAAATGAAAAGTACTGAGGAATGTCACCGTTTTGAACTGGCAGGGATGGGTTAGGCTCTGCTTAACCTTTCCCTCCCCAGCTGTTTTTTCTGCTTAAAAGCATCTGGGTGAATTCTGACTGGGCACTCCTTTCAAGTGAAATGTTACAATTGCCGCAAATCCCACAAGCAATAAGGAGCCAGAAGGATGCTGAGATGAGAAGTAATATCATTGAATCTTTAAATCCCAACACTTTGTTATTTAAATTGAATGTTCCGGTTACAGTAGCTGTGGTGGGGAAGTAGTAGTCCATCAGTTTGTATCCTTCCACAACATAAATTTGTATATTCTAGATTGCTGGATAGACTGAGCACCCTTTTATGTAGCATAGATCTAGCTAAGGAATTGCCAGTTGCAGTGTTTCGTTGCATAGTAGCAGCCACAGGAGAAAAATCCTTCCCCTCCTCAGCCTTAGGAGTTTTACAACGGCATTATCAATATTTACACGCTGCCTCTTAATGTAGTTCATTTCAGTGCTGGAAGGTGTGCTGTCTAAATTATCAAGGTATGATGAAGGCACTTTCTTCTCGTCAATCCTTTCATTCACTGTAAGTATTCCAGCTCTTGTAACAATTGCTTTCTAAAGTCCACTCTGAGCTAACAGTGGTTAGTTACAGGTTTTGTTTCTTGCCTTTTATCTCTCTGAAGGTGAAAGCAGCTGCAAAATACGTGGACGTTCCTGTAAGTAGCCTTTCCTCCCCGTACTAGTTTTGTAAATTTTGTTGCTTTCCACAATGTGTACTTTTTCATGTGTTATCATTATGCTTTCCTTTAGCGGTTCATTATAGCTTTACAACAAAGTATTTAAACAGAGACGTCTTGCCCCTAGAGGGGGTTTCATTTCCCTTAAGCAGCAGCTAACTCTCAAAGCAAAACTAAGGAAGGTTACTCTCAGTGTACTTTTTCAGCTGCGGAGGAGTGAGGATTGTAACCTAGGAACTGTTTCACGGGGGACGTCTTGTCATTTGGAAGTATTTCTCCAAGGCTTAGCTCATTTGGGTGGATGCTTTGAAAATTATATCCTTTGTCCGTGAATATCTTTCTTGCGCACCTCAGATGCTCCAGCCACTGTTGCTCAGATTTGCCAGGTTATTCAAGCCTAAACCTAATTTCTTTCAAACACTGGAAAAAGCAATACAGAATGCTATCCTGTTCTAAACCACCTTTCCCTTTCAATTATCAGTCATTTTTCCCCTCTGAGAAAATTCTAAGCTTACCTGCTTTCTTTCAATGCTTTCAAAGCTGACCTAATGCAAAATCTGGGAGTACACTAGAGCCGCGCGATACCTGCTTTTCAGCTTCACCAGCTAAACATCGTGATATGCTGATATATCACAATGTCTGAAATAAGGATGGAGCTATGTAAAGGCATTGGCTGGCTTCACGGTTTTCCCCACATTGTGATTTTTGCATAGCACACACACACACACATCATGATTCACAATATATTGCCAGGTCAAAAATTATGAAACCAATATCACGATACGGCTTTCGAACCAGTTTTGGATGATATATCGATATATCGCCCAGCCCTAATTACTGCAAGTCCTGCCCTGCAGAAAGACGATCATGTTGCATGTATCCTTTATGTTCATAACATTTTCCTTTGAGTTCCACAAGTGAGGATAAACATCCCAGTATTTGCATACATAATTGGATTTCCAGCGAGGTTGTGGCAAGCCATTAAGTTATCTGACTAACCCAAATGTAGCCAAGCCGTGCTTGCAATTGTTACTTTTATCACTATTGCTGTTGGCTAAGATTCTGACAGATTGTTAAGATGTCAGTAATATCCCCAGCCCTTTCACCTGCAATGGCTTGGCTTTGTTTAGCTGCCTTGTTTTTCTTTCATTATAGGCTCTTGCTCCGCTTAATGAATTATAATGTAGATTTTTTTAGGTTGCAAATAATTCTTACATTTTGGATCTTTAAAAAAAAAGATGATGATGAAGAAGAATGCCCTCTTTTTTTGTTAAGAAGGCATCGTGACAGTTCTGTGTTTCTCCCTCCTCCTGGTACACTGTTAAGGCTCAGTTGAAAGGTTTGGCCTGCTCTTCTGTATTTGCATCTGTGGCTGGGAGGGGGGGACCCCTGTGGGGAACAGAGGTTTTTACCAGGCACTGGACCCTCCTACCAGTGAATGGAGAGACATGACCTGCACCTGCAGGATTAGGTGAAGCCACAGGAAGATCATTGGCAGAAGCATATAATTAACAAGGAATTTCTCTCTCTCTCTTTTTTTAAATCATCTTCATCCTACCAGGTTAACAAGTGATTAACCCTCAGGAAAAGAATCTGCTGTAGTTTACTCCCTTGTTTTAAACTCTTTCCCTTTTTTCTCTTGCCGTGGTATTTGGTTACATGTGTTACAGTGACACACTAACCCTGTTACCATGCTTCATTTCCTGGGATTCTGCCTTGATGCCTTTGTGTTTCCAGATTTCCAGCTTACCTTTGCGCATTGTGGACTGTGATAAAAAGATGTCTATATTCTACCAAAAAATAGCAGGCAAACCAATGTACCAACAGGCAATTGATCCACCATGTTGTTGTTTTTAGCAATTTGTCAGCTGAACCAAATTTACTTTCCGCTGTCCCTTCCTCACTGCCATCTAATCCTAAAGAACACAGAGCAGAGTTTGATGCTTCCCGCATCTTCAAACCTTTTACGATACACCGAGTGTCAGTAACAAATTGCTCTATAAAAGAATGACTTTAAGCTGGGTTCTCTGTCTCATTACCAGATGTGGCTGGCAGGGATAAGATGGTGTAGAGCTCCCAGCTTCAGGATCACTGCCAATTACCAACAGAGGTGAGGCACTGGGGAGGTCGACAGGGTTGGAGGTGCAGTGGAAGAGTCAATTCGCTTCTTAGGCCACTGCTTCCACACTGTGCAAACCTCCCCATTGCCTTGCCTCTCTCAGTAACTGGCAGCGACCCCAGCATTGGAAATCTGTGCTGCCTAGCCCTGCCCTACCAACTAGTACTAGCAGTTATTCAACCTCCGGGTATGAGGCGGTATATACCGTATTTTTCACTCTATAGGACACACTTTTTCCCCTCCAAAAATTAAAGGGAAATATGTGTGCGTCCTATGGAGCGAACGCAGGCTCCTTGGCTTCAGCGATAGCAACGCGAAGCCTCCAAAGTGCAGAGGGAGCGCTCCCTCCGCGCTCCGGAGGCTACGCGTTGCTATCGCTGAACCCTGGAGAGCGAGAGTGCCGCCTGAAGCCTTTGGAGCTCAGCGGGAACTCTCCTGGCTTCAGGAGAGAGGGAGAGCTGTGCAGCGCCCCTTCAGCAAAGCTGGAGGAGAAATGGAAGGGGCTCCGTTTCTCCTGCCACTTTGTTGAAGGGGCGCTGAGCAGAGAGGGGGAGATTTTTTTTTTTGTTCTCCCCCTCTAAAACAAGGTGCGTCCTATGGTCGGGTGCGTCCTATGGAGCGAAAAATACAGTAAATTCAATGAATAATAATCATTCACATAGTCTACCTTGGTGGTATGTGCAAGGTTGTAGGCCCAGCTTGAGCTGACAGAGTTTTGGCAGCCTGGTCCAGCTCTTCCTGCTTCTCAGGAGTGGTGCATCCCGTTTCGCCGCCTGAGGTAAAACGGGAACAGGCCATTATGCCATGCTGCCCTTACCTGGGAAGCCAAAGAGTCGGCGACTCTGCGGCACCGGCAGTACTTCTCTAGCGGCAGCACTGCTTCCGTTGCCTGAGATGGCTGCTTCTCCTTCCTCTTGTTTAATATCCCATTGCAAATGGTTCCTACAAAATAACAGTACAGGCTTATAATGCTGACAGGTGAGTGACGACCTTCCCCTTATCAGCAGCTTCTGCCCAGCTATGTGTTTTCCTTGGGTTGTGGTGCGGTATTTTGGGGCAATGGCTGCTGCTGATGTAGCAGTGCTGTCACTCAGCGCGATGTTTTATTTATTTCATTTCAACAATTGTGGGTGGTACTGAGCTGACTTTTACTCAGAGTTGACCTGCTGAAAGTTATGAGTGTGACTTAAGTTAGATCCATTCATTCCAGTTGAACTGTTCTGAGTCTAATACTGAATTTCCACTTATTGCTTAACACCACAGCTTTTAAGAACTGTGTAATCAGGTTACAAAAAAAAGATAAAATAAGTTGAAATGAACTGTAAAATGAAGAAAAGGCTTGCCGAAAATGCCCGCATGAAATTTAATAAGTCTCCACCAAGCACTTGATGTTCAACAGTAAGTGAGGTCACAACATGTTCAACAGGAAGTGAGGTCACAACATGTCGTTGGTCACAAAATTCCTGGTTTTGCAGAGCAATGTAAGGTGTTGCAGCACCACAGAGCGAGCAAAGTATGCCAATAGTGCAAAGGTTTTCAACCTTTTTGAGTCCACGGCTCCCTTGACCAGCTACATTCTTTCCACAGCACCCCTGTGGGGCTCAGGAGCCCAGTTATGTCACCCCTTGCCTGGAGAGCTGGCAACCTCTCACCCCTTTTCAAACACTCTCCTTTGTGGAGTGTTCCCTCAGCCTCCTCTCCTCTCTTTTTGGGAGGCAGAGACACGGGAGGGCATCAGAGGAAGGGCGGGAAGGAAAGAGGAACAGCGGCGCCCCTGACCTTCATTCAAGGCACCCCAGGGTGACATGGCATACTGGTTGAAAACTACTGCAATAGTGACCTTTGCACTCTGAATTTTCACTCCCTTTGTGAGAACTCCAGTCCGTAAGCGGACAACCCACTAGCTTGTAGACAGGCACACTCACAATTCTGTTCTGTGTTTCCCCATTCCATTTTTCCAGTTTTGTTCAATAACTATAAATCCCTTTACGCTGACATGGCTGCAGAAATATATTTTGTCTCCTTAATTCTGAAATAAATAATCCTACACTGGTTAACAAAGCAGCTTGTCAGATCTTAGACTTGCAAGTCAAAAGGCTCTGTTTGAGAAGCTCTTTTCAAATAGTGCCTTTAAAAAGTTTCCAGTGACTTAGGTAGTGTATCTTAAATATTTGAAAGTGCCATAGATCTTTTTGTTTAAAATGCGCTCCCTAAGTAAATTTTCATGAAAGGAAGTTTTAATGGCTCTTAATTAGCTGTTTAATCCAGCTTCATTAGCTTTATAAAGGAGAACTTAACCACTGTAGTTCTTTGGAGAATCATTCATGTTTATCGAGGCATGTATAGACAGTGAGTAAAACTATTTAAAAGGAAAATTAGATTTTTTCCCCCAGCAATTTATCAGAGATAATTACCCTGTGTACACTGGAGGGGGGGGGAGATAGTGTTTTAAAGAACTGTAATTCTAATTGGTAAATGTCACCAGCTGCTGCAGTTATCATTCTTGTGTATATTCTTCTAATGATTAGAGTCTCATGCTACAAGCTACATGAAAATATATTCACTAGGTGTGAAATTCCCATATGTCACGAATTAGGTAAACATTTCCAAGAAAAAGGGAGAAAGATTGCTAATGGGAATCCCCCCCCCCCCCAAGAATCGACTGCTTTCAGGCTATCTCTTTTTTTAAAGAAAAAACATCAACAACTAACTTGAAACCAAATTTGCATGTTTCACTAAAGATATTAAAGAGCAATTTGTTGGGAAGAATTGCTCCTCAACATAATACTAGCTTCCAAACTCTTTTCATTTGTGATACAGATAGGTAGCCGTGTTGGTCTGCCATAGTCAAAACAAAACAAAATCCTTCCAGTAGCACCTTAAAGACCAACTAAGTTAGTTCTTGGTATGAGCTTTCGTAGTTCTTGGTATGAGCTTTAACTTAGTTGGTCTTTAAGGTGCTACTGGAAGGATTTTTTTTTTTGTTTTCATTTGTGATGTTGATCACAATTTGGTTTCATTTTTCCTCCTTGTGAAATCCCCTGAAAACATTGCTGTAACATACATAATGTTGAAATACTACTACACCTTCAGTTTAAATTAGGATTGTCATATTTCGAACAGCGAAAACCTGGACAGAAAAGTTGTTGAGCTTTCTTTGGCCAAAGTTCTTGAGCTTCTTAGGCAAATTAAGATTTTTTAAAAAAACAAACACTTTTGAGCTATTTTAATGCAAAATCGACACTTATTAGATATGCCACGTTCTGTACAAAGCACAAAAAGTGCCATTGTCCTCCTCTCAAGAGAGGTTGTGACATAATTTGGTGGGGTTTTTTTCTGATGTGCTGAAATAGGGACCTCAGTAAAAGTGTTGAACACACAATGCTCCTGATTCCTTTAGTCATGGTTAAGAGAGTAAGCTATAAGATCCCCTCACCTCACCTCTCCCTGGCTTTCCCCCAACTGGTGTTAATTATGGCTACATCAGAACATAAAACCATGGCTAAAGCTAACCAGTATTCACACTAAAGCTTCCCAGCATACCCTGTTAATCAGAGTTCATAGTTAAGATCAATGCTGACTTAAGCATTAACATAGTTAAAAACATAATTGGAAAGAGGAACAACTGCAAAGACCCACAATCCCACAACAACAACAAAATAATATTAAATACACGACAAAACATCCAACATTAAAAAACTTCCCTATACAGGGCTGCCTTCACATGTCTTCTAAAAGTCAGATAGTTGTTTATTTCCTTGATATCTGATGGGAGGGCGTTCCACAGGGCAGGCGTCACTACTGAGAAGGCCCTCTGCCTGGTTCCCTGTAACCTCACAGTGAGGGAACCGCTAGAAGGCCCTCGGAGCTGGACCTCAGTGTCCAGGCAGAATGATGGGGTGGAGATGCTCCTTCAAGTATAATGGGCCAAGGCTGTTTAGGGCTTTAAAGGTCAGCACCAACACTTTGAATTCTGCTCAGAAACGTACTGGGAGCCGATGTAGGGCTTTCAGGACCAGTGTTATGTGGTCTCGGCGGCCACTGCCAGTCACCAGTCTAGCTGCCGCATTCTGGATTAGTTGCAGTTTCTGGGTCACCTTCAAAGGTAGCCCCATGTAGAGAGCATTGCAGTAGTCCAAGCGGGAGATAACCAGAGCATGCACCACTCTGGTGAGATAGTCCACGGGCAGGTAGGGTCTCAGCCTGCATACTAGATGGAGCTGGTAGACAGCTGCCCTGGACACAGAATTAACCTGAACTTCCATGGACAGCTGTGAGTCCAAAATGACTCCTACTTGGTCCTTCAGGGGCACAGTTACCACATTCAGGACCAGGGAGTCCTCCATACCCGCCTGCTCTCTGTCCCCCAAAAACAGTATTTCTGTCTTGTCAGGATTCAACCTCAATCTGTTAGCAGCCATCCATCCTCCAACCGCCTCCAGGCACTCACACAGGACCTTCACCGCCTTCACTGATCTTTTAACCATTTAAGGTGTGATACACCCACCTTTTCTCAATCATGATTGCTGGTTTTCAGAAGGAATTTGAAAACATTCCTGTTTATCCAGGCATTTGATGACTGAACACCATTCTTGGCAATCTTGAGATGATTGAAAGACAGAACATTTTTTAGACCGTTTTAACTGTTTTAGAGGTGTTTAACTGTTTTTAGAAAACTTCTTTAAAAATAGCTTGCTGTGTATGTGTTTGACGCCCTGGACTCTTTCAGAAGGAAGGGTGAACTAATAATAATAAAATAATAATAATGGCTTTTTCAGCCAGAGCTCACCGGAACTCAGTTCTGGCACCTCTCAGGTGGGCACCATTGCCATTATAAGAGGCTGCCAGCTTTTCAGGCAAGGGATGACCTAACTGGGCTCCTGAGCGCGACAAGGGTACTGAAGAAAGAATGTCATTGGTCAAGGGAGCCGTGGACTCAAAAAGGTTGAAAACCTCTGCCCTAGGGTCTTCATCCTGCCAACACTTTGAAACTTTTCAGATCAGGCAAGTGAAGAAATAATGAAAGCCTGTTGAATTCGCCTAAAGTTTCTCCTCCAAACTATGTCATGTGAATTCCTCAGTCTCAAACTTGGGTTGATTCCAAGACCAACCTGGGGAGGGCAGGGAAGGAGGGAGAACAGTAAAAAGTACCGTGTGTTTTCTTGACTTGTAATGTATCCATCTTTTGTTTTCATATCCATGCTATGCTACTATACATCCAGACTGCAGACCACAACTGTGTATGTATGGATGAGTAAATATAATGGACTTTAATATATATATTTTTCATAGTATTGCGCATGAAACGTCTCATGGTATTTATAGAAGCCTTTCCATTCACAATCAAATTATGGCATTTTCCTCTCACTACCGTGCACTGCTATGTTTTTTCTTTTTCTTTCCGTATGATTGCCTCTGTGTGTCAGCGCCTGCAAAATACACATCTGGAAAGAAAATATATATCAGTGACACTTGAAACATGAATTACTGTATATTTTGGGGAGGTGGGGCTGAGGAGGGAAGCTCTTTGAAAACAGACCAGAGTCTGCTTCTGTTAGAAGAACGGACTCCACGTTCACCAAATTTAAATTCCAGACCTGCTGTAAATTTCTGTCAAATCTGATACGGATTTTGGATGAGACAAGATGATGTGCATATGTGCATGTTTTTATTATTATTATTTGTATAAATGTGTGTTTATCTGAAGAATAAGATTTATCACACAGTGCAAGTTATACCTCTGTGGTCTTTTCCTCCTGCCCCTGCCCCCAATCTTTCTTTCTCTCCCCCTCTCACAGAAACCGGGGATGGATCTAGCAGACACTTACATAACGTTTGTTCGTCAGAACCAAGACATACTTCGCGATAAGGTCAATGAAGAAATGTACATAGAAAAACTGTTTGATGTAAGTATAACTAGCTGTCTGAATCCCAAGTGGTCTGTCTGAATATTACGAGCTGCTCTTTCGGGCTGCAATTGCAGAGCAAGATGCTTGTTTTTGTTGGTTATTGCCGCGTTGACAAACCGGCCTTAACTATTCTATACCCAAGAGGGATACTGGTTGGCAAATAAGTTAGTATAAAGATACTAGGGCTATGCTGTCATTGTAACTTCACCCTATCTTTAAAAAAAAAAAAAGAGCTGCCACAAAGTAGAGGATCTTGGGAACTCTGAAATATTGCTTTTCCTGATGGTGATGATGGGATGTTATGTTTTGGTGAATCCTCTCTGCACTCTGATCTTAAATAGATGAAATTATCACAGTGGTTCACATAACTGGTTGCTATATCCTATGCTGGTCCAAGCAGAGCAAATCCATTCTGCTTTTCTCTCTATCAACTGTCAATAGTCCCCTTCTAATAGTACGTGGCCAGATTTCCTGTATGTGGGGCTTTAGATGAAATATCTTTTAGATGGGATATACAGGAATTATTCTCAGTTTGGTCGTCATCTCCTCCCAATCTCTCCTAAACCGTGTGCTTTGCACAAGCTCCATTGTGTATGTTTATTCAGAGCCTCTTTGCCCCCCCCCCCAATCTTCAGCCCTGATTGGCTTGCAAATAAAATTAAGGTGGTCCCTGCCCTCAGGCTCAAAATCTAAAAACCACAACACATAAGGAAATGGGATGAGGATGCGGGAAACTAACTCGTGGGCTAGTTCTTAGTTCTTGCAATGGCTGGCTGGAATGGCAACATTTCGTGAAGAAGAAGAAGAGAAAGAAGTTGCTGGTGACTCAGCAGAGCCAACAGATTCTTCCTGTCCTTGCCTATCTCCCTTTGCTGTAGTCTGAGAGTTTGGCCGCAACTAGATAACAGTTAAACCACAGAGCCTAGGGCTTGCTGATCAGAAAGTCGGCGGTTCGAATCCCCACAACAGGGTGAGCTCCCGTTGCTCGGTCTGCTCCTGCCAACCTAGCAGTTCGAAAGCACGCAAAGTGCAAGTAGAAAAACAGGTACCGCTCCTGTGGGAAGGTAAACGGCATTTCCGTGCGCTGCTCTGGTTCGCCAGAAGCGGCTTAGTCATGCTGGCCACATGACCCGGAAGCTGTACGCCGGCTCCCTCGGCCAATAAAGCGAGATGAGCGCCGCAACCCCAGAGTTGGCCACAACTGGACCTAATGGTCAGGGGTCCCTTTACCTTTACCTAGATAACAGTTGAGAGAGGACCCTCACTCACACTTCAGACTTCCACTTTGCATTTCCATTGATGGGCGTCCCTCCTGGATGTTACGAGTGCTCACACAAAGATAAAACTCCCAGGCATGAGTCCACCTTTCACTCTCAACGTTCTCTGCCTTGTTCTCCATCCCTCCTACTCTGTCTTTGCATTGTTGTCCTCCTAATGCAAAGTGGCCATAGACACACACTTTCATTGTAGAGCTCTGTAAACTGCCCTGTGATTTTCGGATGAAAGCCAGTATGCAAATTTTTAAAAAGCATAAATAAATGAGCAGGCTTTGGGACGATCTAAACATATACACTTGCACTGGTCTGTACGGACCGTTCTTCTGATTGATCTATTTCCTCGGAGTGTTGCAAACTTCAGCCCCTTGACTCTCCCCACAGAGAGCTGTGATCCCGATTTTTTTAAAAAAAAATTTATTAAGGTTTTTTTGAGGGTTACAAAACAGATAAACAGGGAAAGGTATCATCTGTCACCTCCACTTTGAAGTGATGCAGTCTTTTTCACAGTTCGTTTACATTTAGTGAGAGACACTTTGGTCATAGACATCTTTCAGCTGAGGGAAAAGAGGAGGGAAAGATGTTATTTTGCTCTGTTGCCTAGTGTTAGCATCGGGGTTTGTGTCAGCATCATGCGGGAAGGTCCTTTGTTTTTATATATATTTATATTGGTATTGCAAGAGATTGGGGGTCCAGAGCTTGGTTGGTTGCATTCAGTTGATTGCAGTATGGCTTGTTTGCAGGGGGGAGCTAGGTTGTTGGGTCTGGTTAGCTAGATTGATTTGTGTGCTCTTGGGGGGGATAGGTTGTCTCGTAGTGCTGTGTATGTGATAAAGAGGAACCATATCGGGATGAAGGCTTGTCTGTGTGCTAGTCTACGTTTGTTGGTTAACTTTTCTATAGGTGTCAGGCTTCAGGGAATCAGCTTCCTCCCCCGTGGCAGTAAATAAAAAGATCAAACGAAAGGAATTTCTTACCAGTTAGATTCTTTAATAATCACAGTGAGAGATAAAAGAACACGTCTACCTAGAAATGGCGGTGCTCCCAATTAAGGCTCGCTCCCCCACTCCGTCCCTATTAATCACTCCTACATCTTGTAATCTGATGTTGTACGTTCTGTGCTTTCTGTTATAACACATTCTGAGCTCTTCATGTCTTTGGAGAAGGGGGGGGTGAATGCTGTCCAGAAACTGTGAATCTGTTAACTCTCTCTCTCTTCTAGTGTTTCTTCTGCTAGCTGTTCCCTATCCAGTATTTCCCAGCTTCTGCCTTCTGAACTATGCCCCTCTGCAAACCACTGTTCCAAATCTATACTGTCTTCCTGCTCCTGATGGATTCAGGGGGAGGGGGTGGCTCCCACCATTCTTCCTCAGTGCAGTCCTCCTCAGCGTGGTCCCTGACAATAGGGCGGTTTCCTATACATTTTGGTACCAGTGCTCTATGTTCACTCCACGAAATCTCCAAAAGAACAAAACAGGCAATAGAAGCAACTCCAGAACTAGCCCTATTAAATATATTCCAGGACAGCAACATACACACATGACAAGGTACTCATAAGTCACTTCCTCTCAGCAGCTAGAAATATCATGATCCCATTTTACATGTATTTAGAGCACTGAGCACATCAGTCTGGGTAAGCCCAGACTCCTCTAGCAGCCTCTCCTAAGACTGTTGGAGAAGTCTACCTTCCTTCTGCAGTTCACTACGGTCAGTTCCTGCCCCGGGTCTGAATTCGTCTTACCATTTGCCACGGCGGTGCATCTTTATTTATGTTCCATCTCCACGGCATTTTAGAAAGCTTTTCTGGCAGTTTCGTTTAATTATGCAAGTTGCCGCAAATGTTTTCACAACAGCGATTCACAGCCTTTGCGGTGACACTTCGCTCGCGGTAGTTTGCGGAAGGTCTCGCTTCGCAAGACTCTCGTGTCGCCGTTCGTCGTCTGTTAGCTTGACTGCTCGAAAGGAGCTTGACTTTAGCGCTCAGTCCCTTTCCTTACAGACACTTCCGAGTGGTTCTAAAATTATTTTTGAAAAGTATCATCTGTTTTAATAAGCTAAGTGTTAGTATGTGTGAAAGAACGGTTTATTTATTTATTTGCAAAAGCTACGATGCCTTACAGAGGTAAAAAGGGAGGGGGGAATAACTCCATCCTTCCAGCTGGCATTTTTACAAAGTACCAGAGACATATTAGCAACTTCTGCATCAGTTTGGTGTTGCAGCGGGATCTGCAAGCATATGGTTCATTTCTTAGGCTTTCTGCCTGTTTGCACTGTGATTTCTCTCTCTACAAATGTTTAAAACTTAGATAGGAACCTTGATAGAGATTTCAGTGGGCAGTGGGCCAGATCCATAGCACTCGCTCATGCGACGTACTGAGCACACAGTCCTGATTCTGTGCTAAAATGTATTTTTTTAAAAAAAAACACAACAACAACCACATGGCATCCAGTAGTTGGGGGGGAAATGAAGATCATGGCCACTGGTCCCATCACCTCCTGGTAAATAGAAGGGGAAGAAATGGAGGCAGTGAGAGATTTTACTTTCTTGGGCTCCATGATCACTGCAGATGGTGACAGCAGCCACAAAATTAAAAGATGCCTGCTTCTTGGGAGAAAAGCAATGACAAACCTAGACAGCATCTTAAAAAGTAGAGACATCACCTTGCCAACAAAGGTCCGTATAGTAAAAGCTATGGTTTTCCCAGTAGTGATGTATGGAAGTAAGAGCTGGACCATAAAGAAGGCTGATCGCCGAAGAATTGATGCTTTTGAATTATGGTGCTGGAGGAGACTCTTGAGAGTCCCATGGACTGCAAGAAGATCAAACCTATCCATTCTTAAGGAAATCAGCCCTGAGTGCTCACTGGAAGGACAGATCCTGAAGCTGAGGCTCCAATACTTTGGCCACCTCATGAGAAGAGAAGGCTCCCTGGAAAAGACCCTGATGTTGGGAAAGATTGAGGGCACAAGCAGAAGGGGACGACAGAGGACGAGATGGTTGGACAGTGTTCTCGAAGCTACCAGCATGAGTTTGACCAAACTGCAGGAGGCAGTGGAAGATAGGAGTGCCTGGCGTGCTCTGGTCCATGGGGTCACGAAGAGTCGGACACGACTAAACGACTAAACAACAACAACAGTTGGGAAAGTTAAGCTGCTGCTGTTTTTCTGTACAGTACACATCTAATAATTCACTGGATCATCCCCAATGCTTCAACAAAGATTTTGAGCTCTTCCATCACAGAGCTCAGTCAAGTCCGCAGACTAGGAAGACTTGGATTTCTTACATTTTTTAACCATTCTCCTTCAGTTGATGAGGAGGAGGATGCATCCAAAAACGATCAGAGCGATTTGGATAAATTCTTTTAGGTAGTTTGCAAGGGGGGACGTGGATGGGGTTTATGATTGTCCTTTCATTCTACAAATTGTCTTTCTGGTGGTCTTTGCTCTTCTTCAGCTTTCCTAGGGTGTCCAAGCTTCCAGAAAATCCCATGATGCCCTCAGCTGGACTTTCCTAGGATCCCAGGGAGCTGGGGAGGCTGTCTACCATGCTGCTCATGGTTGTTGGGTTTTTTTGAGTGAATTATTTTTCCTTGCCAAAGAAATTGGTGCATAAAGTTTTGTGGGGGGGTTAAAGGCAGAAGGAAAGGTTTTCCTTAAAGGAAATCAGCAAGGACACTGATCTCGGCTCCCTCTCCAACTTCCCATGCTTAAATAGAAGCCCAG